GTGCAGGACCCTGCACTTGCCCCTGTTGAACCTCATGAGGTTTCTCGCTGCCCAGTCCTCCAGTCTGTCCAGGTCCCTCTGGATGGCAGCACAGCCCTCAGGGCTATCAGCTACTCCACTTAGCTCCTTTCAACCCAAACCTATCCCTCTCGGCCCTTCCAACAAGTCTTTTGAGCATTTATTACTAGAGAAGTCAGAGCTCTGTATTGTCTGGAAGCGTAATGGAAAGAGTAATTATGCACTGTTTGAAGCCCTGGTCACATTCTTTCTCCATCTGACAATGGTCAAATACTGACTGCTTTGAAGTTTCACGCTTTAAGCGGTGGTGTGATCCCCTCTCCTCCTGCTGAGGAACTCCTATTCTGGCGTAATGATTTAAAGCTTCCTTGGCAAAGGAGGAGAAAAGAAGTGAATTAGGATTTGTGCCTGCCATAAAGAGCTGTCAGTTCTCTTCGTGCATTTTACCCAAAGGCCTTTTTATATCGGAAATGTAGAACACGAGTTTTACTTCCAATTCAGTAGCAGGGCTAAAGCAGATCTCCTTATTGCTGCGAGTGACAGGATTTTGTTTGCTCCTCTTTCTTGCTTGTTTTTAATGTGTAGAAGTTACAATTACAGAGGAAAACTTACTTTTCCATGCTAAGCCCATCCCATTCATTATTTCTTCAGGCTGGAGTAACAAATTAGAGATCTCAGTAGTGGTCGGGAATTGCAAATGTATGAGCAGGGTACTGATCTGGGTACAGTTTTAAAGGCTTGCTGATCTAATGAATTAAAGAAATCTTTGCTCTTTGACTAAATAATTAGTTGAGCAGCTCAGTTAGAAAGTATTTGACAAATTTGATCACTAAACTCATTATCCTTGTTGAGATTTAATCTCTGCTCCAGTATTTTTAATCACCTTTTTTAATCTTGCAGGATGATGAATTTTTGCAAAGAAAAGAGAAGACTATCAAAACTGTTACCAATATCTTTGTAAGTATAATGGATTTTCTCATGATCACTTTTATCAGTCAAGAAGCAAATTCTTTCAGCAATGAAATAGTGGTGGTGAATTTGGATTAATGTAACCACTCTCAGCCTTTCATGTGAGTAGATTCCAGTTACATGTAACATGGCAAGCTTCCTTCTTAGGGAAGGGACAAATGCCYGTGCTTCATACTAGAAGCCTTGTGGATGTACAGATTTAAGCATACAGGCTGCTCTCCTCAATTTGGATTCATCTGCAGATTTCATGAAAGTGTATTCTGACTTTCTCCTCCTTCAGGTCACAGATCTCTGGGTTTTACRTGCATCTTCATGGTAGATAAAGTTTTGTGATTTATTCATTCATCACTGCTCAGAGCATCATTAGACAAATGCTTCCTCATTAAATATTTGAGCTCTGTCAGGATTATAACCCTTACTGCTGACACCTAATCTTCTTAATGGAAGATTAGACCATAAGATCTCTGAGAGTGTCTAGACGTGAGTGCAATCTAGAGGAACATGCAGAATAATTTTTAAGGGCCAGAAGCCTCACAGGTTCCTCTTTCTATATCTATACGTTCCTTTTCTGGAACAAGGATATAAGCTCGGTTTGCTCTTTTCCATGTCACCTTCAAATTGTTGTCCATAGGAATTAGAAGGGAGATCAACTCTGCTAAAAGACGATCAGTAAGTGTGGGAGATTAGTCTGTTATCTGAATTCCTTATTAGCACTCTAGTCTAAGGACCTGCCCTCCTCTTCTCAAGGGGAYAATGCAAAGAGATTTATGGTCACAGTCAGACCTGAAGGTTAGAAGAAAGAATATTAAATATCAGGAGTGGTAATGGGAATAAGAACTGCTGCTGCTGAAAGGTGAATATGTCATAAATTGAGGTTTTCCTGCAATCATTTTGTTCACCTGCTCAGTTACCTGATACCAATGGTGATGTTTTCCAGTGCTTGTGGTATGAGGGCTATACTTCGTATAGCACAGGTATGATACAGAATACACCTATGAAAGACAGAATTGCTTTTGTTTTCTGTTGTTTTTTTCTGTAGATGTAAAAAATATTTGTTGTGGAAGAATCTGGATCAAAAAAAAACTTTTTTATACTCAGGTGAAAGTGTAACATGATTTAATAGCTAGATGCATGCTARATACAAGAAAAATCACATGAGAAATGGAGTGAAAATTAAAAAGAGTAGCTGACAAATTCAGTGGGAACTTGGAAAGGAATAAAATTTATTTTYACTTGTTTGAAATCTTTATTTTGGAATAATTCATCTTTGAAAAAGAACAACTGCAGGAATTTCTAGTTGAAAATCAGCTTATATTGTATAGAAAGCCAGGTCATGCAAAAAAAAAAAAAAAAGCATCTTTGCAGTTTTTTTTCACTAAATATTTTATCCATGTCAATGAAAATTGTTTCACAAATTATTGCAAAATATATGAGTATGAATGAACAAAAAGGAAGGGAGGGAATGTTCTTTCTGATGTTGAGTTTTGAGGACAGTTAGCACTTGTCACAGCAGATTAGAACTTAGAATTAATTAAAACTCTTCTCTTTTGTTAAAGTAGCTTTCTAGATTTTAATTAGTTGTAATTTTAATTGATGTTGTGAGATGTTAGACTATCCAAGAAAGCATTAGCTGCAGTCATAAAATTCTTTTTGGAATTTTAACTTTGTATTTTTTTCCAGTATTTTTGCTCACAAGGTTGCAGTAAATATTTGGTCTTTTAGTAACGTCTTTGAAAATCTTTGTGTCAGGGAAAAAAAATGCTGTGTTTCGGWTTTTTTCACCCTAATCTTTTGCCAAACAAATCACAAAAATTGATTCCAAAGTAAATTTTCTCTTTTCCAATTATTAATTTCAGGAAAGTTGCAAAAGGATCCTTTCGTCTTGTCTGTACATGAGATTAAATAATTTTGGTGATTTTTGATTTTATGGTATAAAGACTGTTACAGTGGCATTGTTGCTGTTYGTGGAAGGAAGAAGGCTACTTTAGTATAAGTTGTATTTTTAGTGCTATAATGGTTATGTTGCTATTAATGCTCTCACGGGAGAGCTGCTCTACCTTTTCTTAAACTAAAATTGTCTCTATTGGTACAAAATAAATAGTGAGTGCGTATGGATCCTTGTTTTATTTACTGGATTTAGTCTAGCTAGGATCAAGCGTGTATAGTGTGAGATTGCTTGATTTTTAGTAGCAGACACCTCACAAAATACGTTTTTCCTGCTTTACATTAGAATAAAATGTGCATTAATTCTGCTGTGACCAGATAAAAATAACTAGCAAAGAAGGTAACATTTCTGTACACTAGGATTATCAGTTTAGTCATAGAACCTTCATCTTAAATAGGCATCAATTTTGCTATTATTGACTTCTTTCTAGTGTAATTGATGTTTTTTAAGAGCTAGCTGAAAAAAACATGTTTTTTATAAAGTACTTGTTTATCTTAAAGAAAAGGAAAATCTCCTATAGCAAATATTTTAGAAATAAATTCAGTAAGGTTTTTATTCATGCAATTCCAGAAAGTTCAGGATGTTTATTTGGGTGACTGTATTGGATTGGTAAACAGCCAGTGTTTTATCTCACTCTTAAAAAAGAAAAATCTTCAATTATTTAAAAAAAAATCTTGGGCAAACTTTCAATTTATTCACTGTCTTACAGGAAGTTTACAAACCCCAGAGAAAATACAAACGTCAGGAGGGAGCTGAAGAACTGCTAGATGAGGAATCAAAAGTCCATGCTACGCTTCTGGAATACGGCAGGTGAAACGACTCAGTCTAAGTTGTGCATAGGGTTTGTGTTGTGGGGAGTTAGAGGTATTCAAAGGAGCCCTGGGCTGACATCATTTTTTATTGCTTGAGAACAGACTTGTTTCAAATTTCACTTAATTATCCTATAAATAAGCAAAATGGGTAGTTCTTTTATATAAATGTATAGTGTYTTGTACAATGGAAACCCACACTGTCCTATTAGCTGCACTGCAGTACAGGTGGGAAATGCTTCTTGAGCATACTTTTCTTTGCTCCATAAAAATGGCTTAAATCCATGATGCTGTTAGACAGTTTGAAATTCTCAACATTGACTGTCAGAAAAGTATTCTTTCTTTGCAAGCTGCCTTCCAGAAACTGGAAGGAAAAAGTACTGAAGTTATTACTGGCACTTTTTGTAGTTTCAATGTGGTTAGACTGAGAGACTAAGCTATAGCTTAGTGCTCTCTTGTAGTTTGGTGCTTTGTCTATTGACCTGCAAACTTCCAGTTAGAGACAAAACTACTAAAGGTTTGCACATATCCATTACTCTTGAAAGGCCCTCCCTTTTTTGTGAGCTCTTCAAACACAAAGCAGGAAGATACATAGTCTTTGTTGTTATAATATGGCTTGGGACTGTTTTTTTTGTAATAAAAGTATCATGAAGTTATGAACTTTCAGGAAGCACAATACTTTTTTTTAATGGTCTTGATGATTTGGTGCAGCCCTAGTACAAAAATACAGAGGAAGAGTAGGTGTTTATGCTCTGAAAAGTGCTGAACATGATGGARTACCTGTTGGACTGATGTAAATTGATGAGAAAGAAGGACAGAACTTACAGTTAGCTAGCTGTATCTGTCTTCCAATACAAGAAGTTCAGTTTGGCCACTGAGTGGAAGAGGGAAAAAAATACAGCTGCAGGATTTGCATGTGTTCTTGTGATGCTTTCGTAATAAATTCCCAAAGCATACCCGTTCTTGAGCGGAAAACTGTTACTGAAACAGTGCAAAACCCAAGATTATCTGAGAAAGTGACAGCAGTAAGACAGGGAAATGTGTTTGTGTGTTTGAATAGAGAAGGAAAATCTTGAAAAAGGGAATTGTATGTCTACCTTGAACCTACTAAGAAACAGCAGAAGCTAAGACAAGGACCTAGAGGTGTGTACAGAGATCTGGGAGGGCAGTAGGGATTGTTGTCTACCGTTCAGTACTTGGGTAAAGCAGAGCTAAAAGGGCAGCTGATAGACTTTTGCTGGTTTAGAAGGAAGGTTGAATGATTTCAAAATTCAAATGGAGTGAACCTCTCATTCGTTCGTTACTTGTAGGTGGTAGTCTTAAAATCATGTGAGTAGAGTTTCTTTTTCCTAAATGCCACTCAGTTATCATAAAAATGACTCTTTTCAGTGGAGGACACTAATAATAAAAGTTCTCTCAGTGCAGTGAATAATAGAGGGTCCTGTCATGTCTGGATGCCAAATGCAGCTTTACACAGATACATCCAGTGATATAGTGCTGTGTTCTGAATTGGTTTTGTTCTTGTGGCCTTTGTTTTAAAGGCTCTCACAAAAGTGAGTGTGACATGGTCAGCCAGGATCCAATCTTGAGAGCGCAGTGATATCAGTGTGCATATTTCTGGGTACTTGTGTAGCCTGTTTCAGCTAAGAGCTTTCATTGCTCCCTCTTTGCATATTCTCAAATAGTTACCAAATTAAGTATAAAGTCAGTATACTTTATACTAATAAAATATAAAGTTCTTCCAAAATGTGAAACAACGTGCAGCCTGGGATGCGCATGCATTCTGTGTTGGTTTAACTGATGCACAAGTTCCCTTATGGATATTTTGTTGCACTTCCTTTCTTGGACCCAATTATCTGCGTGAAAATTACCTTGCACTCCTACAGAAAGCAATGAAAGACATACAAGAATAGCAGCRCTGATATCCCTGGCTTCTTTGCAAATACAGCCCTATGTGTATTCTTTGTGGGGGTGGTTCTCTTGCCTTCCCTGCAYTGATAACCTTTAAAATGCAGTGAGATATTAATGTTTGAGAACTCTGGAGAGCTTGGAGTTTACACTACAATAAAATATGGCAGAATTTACTCTGTAAACTACATTGAACAGTTGAATGAACATTGAATAAGCTGGTGACGCTGGATGCTGTTGTTGATGACTGCATCTGACTTAGGGCTGTAAAAGGTTCTGCCTCTGCAGTGGATAAGGAATTAGTCATAATTGTAAATTAGTCAACTGAGAACATCTTTCATTGCTGTGTATGTGCTGGGCTTTGTGCCTCCTGATTATGAGTGCAACTGCTTGCTTAGATGTTAAAAATATCTTCTATCTGTCTTTTCTGTAACTCAGGTATGTGTGTGTCATAGCTCAGGACTGTTTTCCAAATGGCAAGAGGATGGCTTTTTCCATGCATTAGCTTTACATGAAAATGCTTTAGGAACAGTCTAGATTTGGAAATCATAATGGATGGAGTAGATAGAGCTGACCTTATCCTGTAAATACACTGCGGTACCTGCTTGTTTAGTTCAGTGGGAGCATTTCATAACTACTGTGAACCTGGCCTTGAATGTTGCTAGTGTTGAATTATTCGCATTTTAGTGGGTTGCTTCTGTTAAAAGCTGATAGAAGCTTGTGAAATCAAGGATATTGGAAACAGCAATATAATTTTTTTGTTATCCTCCTTTTAGGAGATATGGATTTAGCAGACAAGCAGGAAAAACAGAACAGGTAAAATGTTATTTATATTAATATTTTTAAAATTCTTTCTGAAAAGTATAGTATTTTTCTTGGAATGCTGGTTATTGTAATATCTCAAGGAAATGCAACAGGAGAGARAACTGTAACTTATTCTTAAAAATGGTTAACAGACTAAAAATCTGCATGCGGTGAGAGATGCTCTTGATTACTGATTTTAAAGTGATTTCCTTCAACCGCCAAAGATTAGATTACTCTATGCAAACAGATTGCTTAAATGAGGGTATTCTGTTTTTACGTGAGATAGGATATAGGATCTGCTATCCTATGTGCTTAATGACTCTTTTAAGTGTTTCAAGATGCATTTAWTACAGGGTTTTGTTATTTTTAAGGAATCATTCTGCAAAGTAAGACATTTTTATACAATTTATTACATACTAGGTCATTTAATGTGATAGAGAAGCATGATACAGTGCCATAAATGAGTCATAGTTTCTCCTGAAAAGTAGTATTCTTTGTTTTTCATGTCTATGGAGTCATAAACTGTGCTTATAAGTTTTTTACAATTTTATAATTTCAGTGCAGATATTACCTCAGTTACATGTTGTTATAAATGGTGTTAATGAAGAAATGTGTGAAGTGTGATATGGTGTTAATAGTAAATAGTGTGCTGAGGTTGCCCTCTTTCTTTATCTAGATATTCCATATACACATTTAACAGATTGGAAGAGATATCTATTTATATAACTTAATGCCCACCTCTTTTTCCCTGAAAGTCACTGTCAGACTGTAGTCATGTGTTTTACAGTTTATTTTGTTTCCTCATAAATATGACTGACTTTAGAATATTGTATATTAGCCTGTCACTTATTGTGTGAATTGAGTTACCAGTTGGGTAGGAGCAGAAGATTAAGTAGTCTCGTCAGTGGTACAATGGTGTAACCTAGAAACTCAGTCTGTCGCTTCTCAGTACTCATTATTTCAATGGTGTGTATACTTCTATCTGAACTAGGCAAACATCTTGAGTGTTGTAAGATTGCTAAAGGACTTGAATCATTTTTCATATCTTAATTTCTGTCAAAAATAGCAGCTTTCTGTTGCATATTGAATGCTTAAGCCCAAACTTTTGGATTTAACAGACAATTGATTTGTGAGACTGTAGGTCTCAGAAAGCTGTGGAGTAAAGGACTGTTGGCGCAGATGTGCCTCTGGCTTAATGTGCACACAGTTTTGGTCAACTGGGATACTTCAGAAGTCAGTGACAGTTGCACCTCAGTTGGCATGAACTGGACTGTAGGATGTTCCCATGTTCCTGTCAAAACAAAATAGCTGCATTCCGGTTGTCTCCTTGATGTCCATCTTAAATCAAATTACTGGAGTTAGATGTAATATTTTTCTAATTTCTTTTAAATAGACTGAAGATAAAAAACTTGTGCTACCTCCAGGGCTTGCAGCAGCAGGAAAGGCTGAGGCTGGTGATGAAGCTGATCTTCAGGCTGCAGAAGAGGTTTGCCGTGTACACGGGGGCACGCGTGTTACTAGCTGAGGGCAGGAGCAGCAAGCACTGCACTGCCCTCCTCTGCAGGGAGGAAAGCCTTGGGGCTTGACTGTCGTGGGAGTTCCTTCCCMCAGGAATCTGAATGGAAGCACTAAATTAAATGTTTTGTGATATTAAATGTCAAATACTCAAAAGTGCTCCGATTCCAAAATGGAAGAGGTCAGTGTATGTACTTTGGGTTGCTGTTATAGTTGACTGCTCTGAGTTAACCTTTGCTGTTACAAGGAATTTTCTTTTATTTGGAAAGATTATCAACCACTTTTCTAACTTTCATATAATTGCCGTTTGATTGCCTGCATTAAAATATGCATGTTAGATGGTGTTAGTTATATAGGTATGTCACTATCAATGCACATAACCTTATTTACCATATTTCTGTTTAATACCTCACCTCTTACCCTAGCTTCGCATTAAAACTCTGATGACTGGAATGGCAGCAATGGCAACAGAAGAGGTAAGCAATGCTTAAAACTGATATAGCTTTGTTTCAATTATGGATGGATATGTTTTAGTAATCACAGCTCAGATTTGTCTTAAAGTTTCCTACTTTGTCAGGCTGCACAGAACATTAAGATATAGGCATAAGAATACTCACACAAAGATTAATGCTGTCTTTTTCAGTCAGAGTTTTCATTCTGGCTTCATAATGTTACATGAGAGCAGTTCAGGCTGCTATTTATACCACTTTACCTTAAGAGTAAATGACAACTATAATTGCTACTACAGTTGAGTTAATTGAGAGTCTTAAGGTCTTTGAAAAAAGTTTATATATACATTTTCATAAAGGGAATGCAAGAAGAAATGGTTGAATTAGAAAGACAGTGCTTTTTACAAGGTGCTAGTTTAATCCTCATCCACATAGTCAKAGTTTGACTCAAAATGTGGTCTGAGTTTAATTACTGTGACTAAAAATATACAAAATACAATTAAAAGAAAGTATTTGAAAATCTGAATTCAAATTACTGGTTTTGTGTGCTCAAAATGAAGGAATTTCCATCAATGAAGTTGAGATAGAATGTCTATTGGGCTGTTCTGTGATCAGTTAAGTTTTCTATGTCTCTGTTAAAAATTAAAGCTTGGGGAGATTGCCCCATAGGAAAAACACAAACAGTTCCAAAACACAAGCCATTTTTGATTCAATTGCAGGGCAAGTTGACAGCAAGCACAGTAGGCCAGATTGTCGGACTCCAGTCAGATGAGATCAAGCAAATAGTATCAGAATATGCAGAAAAGGTAAGTGGTTATAACCTGGCTACACTCTACCAGGTCGTGTTTAGTAGCCTACTAATTAAGGCTTTAAGTTTCCAAATTAACTGGCATGATTCTCTTAAAGCAGTGCTTCGTAGTGGAAAACAGCAAAATTGAGACTGAGGAAAGTATTTAACTGAGGCTAGGACATGCACAAGCTTTTATAGTGAGAACACATTGTGTCCACGAATAATAAGGTTTAAACACTCGCTTAAATCTTTTTATGAATAAGAGGTTGAGCAGATTTTTTATTTAAAAAATAAGTGTTTATCTTTAAGCAGAAAAATGCAGCTGCCYGCTCAGTGAAAAAAACAGCCTAAGTTTTTCAGACACAGGATTCTTATTTGCACTTGGCTTTGATTACCAGCCATATGCTGGATCTCTGGTTTTGAAGCTAGCATCATCAGAACAACAAACCTTTGTTGCTTTTACAAGTCAAGGCAATTAACTTTGTTTATTAGCTCCATTTATTATGTTCAACTGTGATTGCTTTTACAGTAATGTGAAAAGAAAATCTGGCTCTTCAAGCAATTAATACATATAATACATCACTGCCAGTTATGAGTTATAGGTCGCTCTTATTTGTCCAATAGTCTTCTCATATTTCTTCCTTTTTGTTGACACTTATGAGGTATGGTGCTTTCCCATTTGGGAGATAAACCTTATAACTCAACAGAGCCCATAGCAAATTCTTGGCCTTTCTTTATTATAGAGGATTGGAAGAACAGAAGCCCAAGGGTCATATTTCAATGTTACATTTCTTCTGTTCTGAGAGAAGGCAGCAGGACCTTGACTATTATAGTAGAACAGTGATTAATTCTCTGGAAAGTTAAGAACTGATTCAAGTCAAACTAAAAATATATCATTTTTAAAATCAAAAAAAAGAAATTGGAATACTGGATAGAACATGGCTTTTTGTGTAATTTATTGCTGTTAGCTACAGATGAGGAAAAAAAATGAAGCATGTATGGAAAACCTGTCTGAATTTTCATTCAAGAATAATTCTTACTCGAGTAGTTCAGTATTTCTTTCCATGGAAATATTAGCAAGTTTYAATACACATATCAATCCCCATTTTCCTTTTCCCAAGCCAATTGCTTCCAATCTCTTTCCTCATTTTAAACTTAGGTCATTACTACTAGAAAGCAAGGAATTGCAAAGGGGCCTATTTTGAGGAATCACATTGGAAGATTCAGGATCTCAGGTGCTTTCCTGTGTTATTTCTGGTCATTTGTGCAAAACATCCATGGAAGCTAATTCCATGGAAGACCTCATTTGGTGTGAATTCTCTTTGGGGTGCACGGGAAGTGGAATGAGAGCCTTCTACTAGTGATGCTGCAGTCAATATAGTCATGACAGATTCTGGCAGAGTGAGTTGAGATGGGTGTTAAACTGAGATTTAATGAAATGCTTGAACAGTTACATGTTCCATCCATCTCACTGTCTTCATTAGATGTTCTAAACACTTTCTTGGCAGTGCATCCTCACCTGAGTCATTTTCAAAGGCTGATGCCTGTAGCAAGTAAACAAATAAGATGAGGAGAGGTACAGGTAATTATCAACACCCTATTGCTCGAGGAACTTAGTAATTCTGAATCTAAATACTGGGCTRTGAAGCATCCCCAATCCAGCAGGAAAGCTGTCTTGCTGCTTGAGGTCTTATTTTAGCACTTTTCTATCTGCTTCAATTAGACATTCTACCAGGTTTAATTGTAATGCTGATTTTTTTGTCCTTTGGGTTTATTGTATCTTGAACCCACCCCAGGGTCCCTCACTTTACTGTTAACTTACTGAAAATAGGCAGCGTGAGAGACATATCTGGTACGTCTGGGTGTAATTGGTCTGCTATTTCCTGAATTTGGTTCCAATTTATATGAAGAAAAGTCTTTCTAGCAAGTTACTCTTTGTCCTGGATTGTGGGACACAGGTCAGCATGAGCAGCATCACAGATCTGTCCCAGTCTGGCATATTTGATTTTCTGTAGAAGCAAACAGTAACAACATGAGGTTCTACAAGCTCTTGTTGCTGTTTATTTTAGCAATCTGAGCTTTCTGCCGAGGAGCGACCAGAAAGACTCGGAGCTGCCCAACAGCACAGAAGGAAAGTGGCATCTCTGAATAAGCAGATTTTGCAGAAAACCAAAATCCTGGAAGAAGTAAGTACTGTTTGTGCAACAAAGAAAACATTGATAAATGTGGTTGGTCATAAAATTTTGGCTATCCAGAAGAGACTTGCAAAGTATTTTTTATACCAGCAATTTGTCATGTTGAACATTCATTTCAGCATCTCTGAATGTCCTGCTTGCACATTTATTACTAAGACAATGTGGTTGCTCTTACACTCAAGAATTGCATAGTCCTATGAAGAGAAGACTTAGCTGATCAAAAGATGCTTTTTTTGTTTGTTGCATTCCTCTTCTAGAGATCTGGAGATTTTTTTCTCCATATTTTTTCTCCATTTGACTCGTTAGGTATACTGTAGAAACTGTGAAAACAAGCCCTTTCAGACAACCATCTGGGAGTTTATTTTGAAATATATTACAAATATATTATTGAATATATTGGTATATACAGATGTATTGCAATACATTACTTTTTAGCCCTTTTGTGTTCTTCTGCATGTTTGAATAAAAACCAGTTGCAGATCTGGTTAGTGAGCTCCTTTTTATTTTTATTTTAATTCAAGCTTGTTCACTGAAGCTTTTGACATGACTTGGCGGGGGAGGGAAAAAAGGGAGAGGAGGAAGATGCTCTTAAACTGGACTGTTGTCATTCAAATCTGTAAGAGTGACTTCTCATATTTTAATCTCTTTACAGTATTGCCATTTTAATGCAAAAAAGCTTAAGTGGAAAACTTGCCAGTAATGAACTGCTGCTTTTAATTAGGCATATTTCCATGGCCAGTGTCATGCCATTTGTAGCTTGCAGAATCTGATGCAAGCCCAGGGTATATCACTGTCAGCAACTGGAAGAGCCTGCCAGAAAACAAATAGTTCTGGAGAAGAATTGTGGCTGATGGCTTCTGTGGCTGCTACTCTGTCAAATACAAGAGTGCAGCAGCAGCCTTCATCTTTCCTTTTCTTTCTTTTTGCTCTCATTGTCAGTAAGACAGACCTTACATCTTAACTCATTGTACCCATTAAACATCAACTGTACAGGGGCTTCAGAAGATAGACTTGTGTGGTGTTKCTCGTGAGACAGTGATGTGTCCAGTCTTGCAAACAGAGGTAGAAGAACGACATATTTTGAAATATTTATCTGGCGTAGTGTAACTGTGGGAGCACCAGCTTTTAATCCCTGCTGCCTAGCCACTGACTGGACCTGYTACTTGTGATCTATCTGAGCAATAATTTTATTTTGCTTGTAAGTTTTGAGGGGATAGATATCCCTTAATTTTCCTCAGTGAAATGTATGCYGGGAATCATTTTTTTAAGTCTCTAAGCTAGCATTCAAGTAATACTAGGTTTAAATACAACTATAGGAACAAAACAAATGGAAACTCTAATTGTTTATCCTGTTACTTTTTTTAATTTTTTAAATTTGAGTCAGAATGTTTAATCTGACTTAATGAATGAGCCTGTGCAGGTGGTTCTTAACTCATTCTTCACAAACTATTTGGAAAAAAATAAGACTTTTAAATAGTAGTCTGTAACAAGTGCTTTTCAGTGATAAATATTAGAATGCATCCATCTCCTATRGAACATATCAAATTGAATTCGTTTTTCTTTCAAAGATGATGCAGCTTGATCTCTGTATTATCCCCTGGCATGCCCAATCAGATAAAATTGCCCTTTTTCTTTCTAGTCAGTAACTGTGTTTAATGTTTGTGCTGTGTTTTGGATCTCAAAATTGCCTGTCGTAGTTTCCTCTTTGTTCTGGAGACATTAAGGAATGCACTCGTTTGGATTTGGATAAATAGTACTACGTGTAGATTGAATTACATCATGCACATTATAATGCTGTTAAAGTAGTTAGTCCTYAGTCAAGAAAATAAAGTATATAGGAAATGGAACATATATAACAACTTATATATACCAACCAGCATAATTTTGTTGTGCTGTTTTTTTTACTTGGTTATCATGACTTTTCCAAGTATGTTGATGTCAACCATAACTTTGGTTTCCTTTCAGAGTGAAGATTATTGCTAACAAAATATTGGCATTTAAATGCAGACTGGAGCGTCAAGGTTTTGAAATCATAACATGGGCTTAAAAATAGTTAAATTATTCCTAAGTTTCTTTGTGGATTTCTTTTTCTGCAGTGGATTCAGAAAAAGGGTCTCAGCTGAATGCCAAGTGTACATTACAGTGCGCTTGGATCACACTGTCCCCCCCTTTAAACCACAAGGGCTAAAAGACTTTAGGTAAAAGGGCTCGAGGTCAAACAGAATGTAATGTGTCTGTAGCTGCTGGAGCAGCATCGCATGTTGGAAGAGTGAGGTAGAATTGAAATCAGTTAAAAATGACAGTTGAGACCTTTCACAACAACAACAACAAAAAAAAAGCTTATGGAGTTGCAGCTTCAGTAGTGGAGTCAGTTTTGGCAAGAAACTCAAGTAGTTCTTGAATCTTTGTCAGTCCCCATGAGATGTGGACTGCAGGGTTAAATCATGACGCCCCCTCTCCCCAAACTAGCTAGAATTCAGTCTCTGAATTATTGGTGGAAAAAAATATGCATGTAATGAAAGAGCTTTACTGTTAAGAATTTGGCTCTGGAAATGGGTGAATGGTGTGCTGAGCCATAGCTCTGCATTACAAATAGCAAACTAAGCCACCATTTAAAAAAGAGGAAAAAATAAAAAGTAGAACAGGAAGTCAAACTTGTATTTCTGTGCAGCATTTCGTTCCTCTTTTCTAACCCAAGTCCCATTTTGGTTGCTATTTATAATTTATCTTAAATTCTAACACCTCTAGAGAAGGATATTCTTCCAAAATTTACCTTCTGTAAATTATTTAATAAGTGAAATAGTCGGTGGTGTTTTGCTGACTGTTGCCTTTTAGGTTTTCCATAGTTTCGGAAAGGAGAATCTTGCTTGAGCTGGCTTTATTGGTATGGTGCAATTTTATGGTTTGGTGGCTGACTGCTTTTATGCAAGGCTTGAATCATCCTGACTCTTTTGGTGATGTGTAAAATGGAACTGTCTTATTAGCTTGGTATGAAATGGGGCTAACCTAACCTAGCTAAGGAACTTTCAACACTTTAGAAGAAATTCTGTCAAGTAACCTACTGCTGGCATTCATTCTCTGAAAGCTACTGTTTATTTTAGGACCTACTGCGTCTGGAACTCAGATGGAGAATATTTTCCGTTAATCAAATAGAATTCTTGTAATRAATTGTGCTCAAAGTACCTGATAGGAAAGGACGATGACTGTGATACTGTGCCTGTTGGTTAACAGGCAACTGTTGTGAACACAGAAGCTCAAATACTGAGCTTCTCCATTATAGGTATAATTGGAGTAAATAGAAAATCAAACTCTCTCCTTTCTCTTTGATAACAGCTGCAAGCTACATGTGCAGATCTGCAAGCAAAATATACTGAAGCCAAGAAGGCATTAACTGAGGTAACTTGTTTTTTATGTACAAATTGAAAATCTGTCCCCTTTATCCAAAAGTATATTTCAATCTAGTGTTAATTACAACCTTTAGGTTAAGAGCTCCAGTGAAAAGCTGGACAAGGAATTGGCAGCCTTAGAAGAAATAGAATCTCAAGCAGATTCCAGGTAAGATGTTTTATTTCCTGCCCCTCCCCATGAATTTTTTACTCTGAAAAATAAAATCAATCCTTTCATTTTGATCTTGTGTCAGTCTAAACAAATAACTGAATTAAGCAGATARTTCTTCCTGCTCTGCTTGCAAAGACAGGCCATGATTACTATGTTATTGGTGTGAATTAATATTAAATGTTAATCTGTAATTGAAATTAGTTGCAGATGCTTAAATATGTAACACAAGCAAAAGAACCCAAGACCATCTGACAAGTAGATGAGGCCTTCCTATCTCTATTTTCTTCCTAATTAAAACSTTCATCTTGCATGAATGAAATGGGAAAACCTCTTGACTTCTACCAAATCGAGAGCAGGAAAGGGCAAAGTTGCCCAGGGAGTAGGTGTAACACTGCACTGTTTTTCTGACTGATCAGTGGTAGTACATGRATTTCTGCTTTACAGGAAAATTACTTAGAAATAACCTGGTTCTAATATCTTTGTGTTCTCCATCTATTTAAACTGGAAACTAGAGACTAATGCTATTTTCTGGGTCTTCCAATTTAGTGTATTACAGAACCTGCGAGCACTTGTAGCTATGAATGAAAGCCTCAAAAGCCAGGAGCAAGAGTTCAAAGCACATTGTAGGGTAAGTTTTACTTTATTAAGCAAGGGTTCATGTACAACTTTATCAGCAAGCATATAAGCATTGTGTGTGCTACATATGCCATGCCAAGCTCCCTACTCTTTATTGGAATTTCCAGATTCAGCATGAATACTGCCATTAACCTGAGTATGGAAAGGGAGGTATAAAGAAAGGTATCTAAATTAGGGTTCTAAATTAGCAYGGAAGCATCAAGGTTCTGTAATGCCTGGGGCTCTTTAGTAAAAGACAAGTTCCAGACAAAACATTAGATCAGCACAGGSCTGATCACAGCTGGGACTGTTTTTGTTCCCTTTACCATTCTACGGAGAATTAACTAGAGTAGCTTGGGAAGGGGGCGAAGAATGAAGTGGCCAACATCAGCCACCTTCCRGCCCTATTCACAGCCTGAGACAAATTGTCTCTTCTTGGGTGATGTGGCCACCAGTGGCACAGATGCAACCTTCTTGAAGGCCCCTGGCTCTGGAGCAACCCAGTAGAAGAGACAAGACTCAGATGCAGCTATTTCAGATTTCCGAGTGTGTTTCACTGTTAGTATTTAATTACTGTGTTTTGTTGCCCTGTTCACTGCTGTGTTGGTGGTCGGCCGAGAAACCTTATCAGAAAGAGTTGTTTTTATTCTCTTCTACTTCAATAATAATGGAAGGGGCTTGATACAATGGGAAGAAATAAAAAGAAATACAGCCTCAGGGCAGAGAATGAACATAGAACACCTCCTTTTCCCATATGTGCCTTCTCTTGGAAAGCTGTAAAAGGTTCTAATGGAAACTGTCTTGCAAGTAACCTTCCTTTCATTCGTTACTGTGAATGCCTTATTTTATACTCCACTGCGATGTTATTGATACTGTACATTTCTGTACATGTAATAATACATTTCTCAGTCCACTTTTTCACATCCTTTATTACTCTTTTAGCTGCAAATAAGAAGAAAAGCTGTTGCTGTGTTTGATGGAAAAAGATGCTCAGTTTTATGTAATGAGTAATAATGACTGCCTTAACCCTTGGTAGAAAGTTACATTTAATCTTGAAATATTTAAGTGTGTGGCCAATTCCAGAAATATATACATGGAATATATACATGGAATCAAGCTTCCTGCCATCCCCAATTTAAAAGATAGGTATTAATTAAAAAAGAAAAAAATAAAAAAGGCTTTTTTTTTTTTTTATTTTAAAGGAAGAAATGGAGCGTCTTCAACAAAATATAGAGAGTTTAAAAGCAGAGACAGTGGAAGACGGGGAAGAGGTAGGAAAATAGCACATATTTAAGAATTTAGCTTTAATTTGTGTCTTAGAAACTTGCTTTAGGTCGTTTGACTTTCGGCACATTCTAGTAAACGTTAAAATCCCCCGTCTTTGTACGGTGATCTATCAAAGGAGAATCACAGGGTGTTAAAAGGCATATGTATCACTGATGACAAAAACAATTCCTCCTCAAAAATGTGCTCACTCTTTAGCAGGCTGGTGTTTTTTTTATTTTTTGGTTTGCTAGATGAAAGCACAAGTTTTCAGTGGCTGAGTGTGCTGCCTGCAGTAAGCAGCTGTCAAAACTTTGCATTTTACATAAAGCACAGCCAGACTGATGGGGGTGAATGAGTACAGTAAAGGACAAGGCTTTATCACTTGTATTTTAGATGATACAATAATGCGTTTTTATAATCCCATAACGTTGTTCTCCCAAACCCGGCATGAGAAAACATAAGCATAGGACTTGATCACTACATCTGCAAGCAAATATAGACTGCGTATCAGAGGGTTCCATTTCTGTCCTGGGCCATGTTTATCATTAGGCTTTTCACTGAATCAAAGTATAATCATGCAGAAAATTAACACAGAGAATAATATTCTTTTTATATATTGGTWTTTCTTCATTTTTATATGTGACTGTTCCTAAGCAGTGGAAGAGTTATTGGCAAGCCTTGCAAACTGAGTATGAGACTTGAACTAGCAAAATACATTAGGTTACTGTGAAAGATATTAACGACTTCATTCATGCAAATCGTGATGCATTGTTCAAAAAGGGAAAAAGCAGCAAATGGTGGTGTTATAGTGTTGTTACATAGGAAGCATCTTTGAAAGATGAAGAAAAATCCAGTTCCTATACTTTTCCAATTGCAGATCTGATTTCCTACTGTAATTCAAAAATATCTTTTGGGTTCTCAAATTCTAGGAGCCTAATAAGCTTGTAGATGAGCAGTACCAAACAGAGAAAGATAAGCTTCAAAAGATCCGGCTTCTACTGGTGAGTAACTCCTTAGAAACTTATTAGGATGAAATTATTGATTTTTCTCTTTTTTGCTTTTAGTATTTTTAGTTTTTRGTTTTTTTGTAATGTTTTAAGAAGCTTTTATGTCACAGACCAACTGTAAATAAAATTGAGCCTCACTCAATCCTATTTGCTAGATTAGCTATGTAGCAATGAAATCCTGCTGGGTGGGCTTCATCCATTTTACAAAGAGAACTAGCAGAGACTTTGTTTTTTGTCCTCTTTTTCTATTCAGGCCCGAAAAAACAGAGAAATAGCCATTTTGCAGCGCAAGATTGATGAAGTACCCAGCCGAGCTGAGCTAACGCAGTATCAGAAAAGATTTATTGAACTTTACAGCCAGGGTATGTATATCAAACAGAAACATTCTACTGAAGGCTAGAACTGCGGAAGGAGGGGAATTGCTTTATAAGCCAGCAGCATGCAACAATGGCACTTGCTAATCCTGTGGTATTTTAAGGGTCATTTGACACTTGCATAGCACACCCTATTTTCAAGGTTTTATAAACTGGTTATAAAAATGCCTTTGAGGATGAATCTTGATGCACAAGCTGTCTCGAGTGAATTTTTGTCTGCAGAAGATTCGGTCATTTGGATCAATGACCAGTGTGTTTAGACTGAAGTCCTTAATGTGCCATTTACAAATGAGGTAGCTGTAGGTTTGAGTTGTTTATATCTACTCTTAACATTAACATCTTTAAGGTTTTAAGATGTTTTGCTCACAAACAAAAACATATTTGTATATTGAGATACCTGGTTCTATATACAAACTGTCAAGAATTACGAAAAGTGTTTCTTGAAGGGATTGTTTTCCATCACTTTTGCTTTATAAATATACCCCTGCCTGCAAAAAGGTCAAGGACAACCTAGGGAATTACAGGTTGGTCAGCTCTGTTMAGAACTAGTGAGATCATCCCTGAAGTTCTGTGCACAGTTTTGGGTTTGTCCCCCAGGTCTAAAGGGGCTGAATGTGTGAGCCTGCCCTTCCCTACCAGCTGTCACCATATGCTATAGTCACCTAAACCACCTTTTCTAAAGCAGATACTCTTTAATTATATAAGTATAAGCATATTGGAAGAAGAAGAAAAAAAAGAGGCTTTAACATTCTCAAAGCTTTCTTGGGTATCTAGCTTATCTGTAGCTTGAAGGGTATGGTATAAAACATGCAGCTCCTCTTCCTCCCTTCTCTCCCCAGCTTCCCTATCATGTTGGATTATCTAGTTACTATCTGTGTTTGTTTAATCCCTTCTCCCTCCATGCACAAACACACACCCAATTTACACTGGGACAACTAGCAGTGCAGCCACCTGTGAAGTGTGAGGGCAAAGCTTATGGAAGAATTGGACAGACAGGGAGGCACAGCTGGCAATGCCAACTTGTGTTCACATAAACCTCCACTACTGACCATGCTTTTAGACACTGAGCTGTGCTGTTGGAGTCCAGTGCTCATAAAACCTGCTAGCTGCAAACTCTGATGGAGATTTACATGCAGATGCTGTGTTCCCTCAGAATGTATTAAAGAGCGTCTTCCATTATTAACAGTACAAAGTTATGGCAAACAATAAAGCCTACAAAGTATTTTTATATGTTCTGTTTCATCTAATGCTCTTTTATTATCTCACCCTTCTTTTGTTTGCAGTGTCAGCAACTCACAAAGAAACCAAACAGTTCTTTACTCTTTATAATACACTGGATGATAAGAAAGTATATTTGGAGAAGGAGGTAAGAAAACATTGCTGTTTTCTAAGTGTTTAGTCTGTGAACATGGTGCAATGTTCTTGCATAGCTTCCATGCTCAGCTATGCAGCCTCTCCTCAGAGAAGGGTTAATAATCTTTACAAGAAAGAAGGAAACAACTTCATAAGAATACTTCAAGAACATTAATAGTGAAATGATTATTAAAAAGGTGCTGTCATTAGTGTGGCATGTTCGGATTGTTGTGTTCGCAAAACACAAAGACACTTGATTGGGAAATACCTCTGTCTTGGTAAATCAGCCTCCTTTTGTGTTCTTACTGTGTTACTATTTTTTTTATTATGAATTAATGATATAATTACTGAGCTTTGTAGACCAAATTCCAGGTGCTCTCGGCAACACTGCAGTTAATTCTCAAGCTTTCATCCTGCTTACACTGTAATCACTGCCAAGTTTAATTGGTAAGGACTGAGGAGTATTTTCCTGAAARCAAGTTGTTATTCCATTCTCTATCCCTGCTATGCAGAATTGGGCTGTTTCTTGAAGATGACTTTTTTTTTCAATAATAGATGAGGAAATAGGTATGGAAATAAGAGCAATCAGAGCTTGATTTAAAAACAACAGCATTACTTTAAACTATGAAAGGTTTTGATACTTGAGGCTCCTCTGGTTCTAATAAAATAATAGCTACACAGCTCTCAAAGGAAGCAGCTCCAGTACTGGAGTTTGTGTAACTGTTTTTCTGCAAGCTGGTTCAGTATAGACTTGCCTGAGCATTTGTACTGAAGAGTGTTATGTCTAAATGCCACTCTTGCATGTATTTGATATTTTTAAAAGGATATTTTCTTTTTTTGTTCTTGTTGATTTTGTTTTAATTCACAGGTTAACCTGCTGAATTCTATTCATGATAACTTCCAACAGTAAGTCATCGTCAGTTTTCTCTTGATAGTTAAAATGAGTAATAGGGCTGTTTGGGCCCCATGTTTTCCGAAATCAGTGAAATTTTTTTTTGTTTATAGTATCGAATAAAGTGATGAGTTCTGTTTTAAGTACTGTATGGGGAGTCATAGACTTGATATTAACTAATATGTATAGTCAACATATGTTTTTAATATCTGGCTCTTCAATGCAGTTATGGGGAAAAAAATCATTGTCATAGTTTTCCTGGCATTRATGTAAATATTTTTTCATTTCTGTGAAGTTCTGGCTGCTGCATTATGTACAAAACATTAGACTTCAGACATGTTTATTATAGAGTAACTCTGTTTAATAAAGTTTTGACAAAGTGTGAAGTCTTTAGGTGAAATTATGATCCCGTTGGAAGTTCAAGGTCAGATCAGTCTGTGATCCAGCCATTATTTGTGTGGGTTTTTTTATTTTGCTTTATTGTGTTTTGTTTTTTTTTCTTCTGGAGTTGGATGGGAAAAGGTCTGGTGTAAGTGGTCATTTTATTAATTGTAAACAGTTCTTCCTTCTATATCCTTTTAAATTCTTTTGTTGTCACTTTTTAAGAGAAACTCATGATTTTCTTACATGGTTCCATCTACTTTTGTCCTTCTGTTTTGAGTCAGAAATTTTGAGTGACCTTTTATTACTTCTTTTTTGCCTGTTGTGGTATTCAAAACCTTCAATTGCTGAAAAAAATTATTTCACATGTTTTCTTTTGCAGCAAAAATTATAGATCTGTTTTACCTAGTGATTAAATTGTTTTGGTTCTGTCCAGTTAGTAGAAATTTGTGCTGTAGTTTGACACATTTTTGACATGTATATTTTGGTTTTAATCTGTTCAAATTATGTCAAGAGTCCAAAATCACTTGTGGAGTTTCCCTAATAAGGTACAAAGCTGTGCTTATAATATTTATTGACCTCCTAGCAATACACTTATGTTCTTGTGAGAAAATAGTAGACTTGTACTGCCAGGGAGAGTGCTTGTGAGGTGATACTTCATTCCAGCTGATGATCTGTACTGTTACCTGAAATCAGTAACTTAAAGATGAATTTTTTACTTAAAATACTAAGTAGTGTGTGTAGTTGGACCTGGGTAGAGACGAAAGATAGAAAAGATGAAACGTTGTCCCACACATTCGTATCAGTTGTTACCTTTTTCTCTTTCCAGAGCAATGACTTCTTCTGGCTCTCGTGAGCAGTTTTTGCGGCAGATGGAGCAGATTGTAGAAGGAATCAAGCAGAATCGGATGAAGGTCTGAGATTCTCCTCACTTTCTCTGCAGGAAGCAGGGAATTATTTCAGAAAACCTTTTGGATAATGATTATATATGGAGAAATCTACTATGTGATGAGCAAATTAGGCAGCTCAAAAGTCCTTTCCTCTTCAAATCTATGAGAAAGTGCTCACCACTAAAATGTGACTGAATAGAATAGGGCAGAGGTGTAGGAATACTGTGCTCCTGGCAGACAGGTTGTAGCATTGGAGCCTCTTGGCTTACTCTGTGGGGAGGCATTTGAAATGGGAGAGGATACAACAGGACTATTTACATGGCTCAACACCAGAGAAGAGCAGAAAAACTACTAGCATCGTGTAGTAAGGTTAAAGATGCCTCCCCCACGATTGATACAGCCAACTTAAACAACACATCAAGATTTCAGTTTCACCCAAAAGCTCCTTTTTTTATTTTTTTTAATTCTTGATGTTTGTTAACCTTGCTGAGCCATCTTTGATAGAACATTGCTTAGTAGGCAAGAGTCTGGGCTTCCAGACATGTACATCTTTAGTTCGAATCTGAATGTTGTCTGTAGTGCCACTGCCACTGAACCTTAGCTTCCTTAGCTTTTGGGTATTTTGTTGGGCGCGCGCACACACACACACACACACACACACACACACACACACACAATGTGATCTTCTAATCTTGTGTGCCAACAGATGGAAAAAAAGAAACAGGAAAACAAAATGCGAAGAGACCAATTGAATGATGAATATTTGGATCTTCTAGAGCAACAGAGACTTTACTTTAAAACAGTGAAAGAATTTAAGGAGGTAAGAGCATTTTTGCCAATAAAACCTAGTGCTTCTGTTCGTAGTTRTTCTGCTCAGCAGTGGTCATTCCTTTKGAGTGGATCATAAACCTTGCTTTTAGTAAGGAGCATATTTCTAGGTATGTGGATTTGCCCAGAAATTTTTCTTTCTTTCTGAATTACTCTTTTGARGTCTCCTCAAAGTTTAATCACAGAGAAAAGTGGTCTGAGGAAATGTACCATCTCATTCTGAGAGGGAGGTTTCTGTTACGGAGAAATGGGCGTCTTTCACATTGTTGGAATGGCCAAAGTGKTTTCTCAGCGCTAGAACTGTGTGGGGTTTCTGGCTTTATTTTTTTCTTAAAGCTGCTGATGTGGCTTGTGAAAATACCATTGAGCAGCAACTCATTGAAGGACAATAAATGACTTTTATAGTTAAGTACTATCTAGTAAATAGTATATACTATATTAGATATTAGAGGACAGTTGACTGCAGAATTGCCAATACATTAAAGAAAATCTCAGAAATTAATTGGCAATAAGGCTGTGTTTTTAAAAGAACAGGTGACTGATTCGTCTTCTGTTGAAGTCCATGATGGCAGAGGCAGGTCACAGGCTCCTATTTCAGGAGTAATTTGTAATGGCTGCTTTACTTTTTGGCATAGTATTGGTGGCCTAAGTAGTAATATTATTGTTTTATATGTATTAATGATGTGAGAGCTAACGAGACCTGTTTTACTCCCTTGAACTTCTCTTTGTTTGTCATATGCATCCTTGGGATGAGGTGTTAGGCCTTTGAGGTACTTTGCACCACAGTAATGGGAAGTAACCTTAAAATTATTTTAAAAATTAACCCATGTTTTAAAATAGCAATCATTTTATAACAGGTAGAAGGTACATATGTGTACATACCTTTCTCGACTTGCAATGTTCCATCAAAATCTTTCTTTTGCAAGTTATTTTAACTTAAGTGTTCCAGCTTATCTATCAGTGCTCTTATTTTTTCAATGTATAAGGACATATTTGCTTTAGCTACGTGAAACAATTTTAGACGAATGACCAAGCAGCATTTTTTGGCATGTACATCAAAAAATACAATAAATATGCCATTGAAACAATTATTTTGAATGAATCGGCAGCATCTGGAGGTCATCACYCCAGACTACTTTGGATCTTTGAGACCTTTCAAAATAAGAGGCTTCAATTTGATGGGAGCATGTATATCACAAGTAGTAGAGAGAAGGGGTGACTACCTCCTCTGTTTGCTCTTTGTTAACAGGAATGCCGAAAGAACGAAGTGCTGCTGTCCAAGTTGAAAGCGAGTTCTTCCTGAGGGACTCCTGCTCATGAAGCTAGAAACAGTTGTTCAGTCCCTAAATTGGAATYTTTTGTGAAGTGACAATAACTGCAATGTAGACGTACAAATATATATATGTGTGTATATATTCATGTATATATACACACCTGTAGAAGTCTGTCTTTTTCCAGTATGTATTCTGTTTTACATTCCTTCATTTATTGGCTGTATGATTATTTTCTCCACTACACAGTAAAGAGTTAATGCAGTACAGAAAAACAGAAGTACTGTCTAACTTTATTTGGGTGTGGGTTCTTCCACAGTGAGGATGACGGGATTTTTTTTTTTAACACTGAAGAAGATTAAAAATCTGGAAAAAGTAGATGTGGACTTGATTGGTAACATACTTGCACATGTAATTTTCAAATACTATAAAATGAGCACTGATAATTTTAGGCAAAATAAACACAGAAAATAATTCCTAAAAGTCTTTYCACTATCTAATAACTTGACATTATTTAAATTTAGTTTCTAACAATAGATGAGGAAAAAATAATTCCTAATAGTTAAGACTGAAGAAAATGGAAACTCAACTTGGGTAATTCCTGGTGTAAAAATATAGATTTATATTTTTATAAAGTCTAGTTGTTGTATACATTTTTTTGAAAATTCATTTTTATATATACAGAGAGTGATTGTTAAATTAATAGCTTCAGGAAAACACACCTTAATTAGTAGGACCATCATGTGGTCTGGTCTGAGATGAAAGGCAGTCTGCTTCAGCTGTAACATAGGAAGATCAAGGTTCTGCTCAAATGAACTGCCGCTCATCTTTGAAGAAAATGAGTTATTTATCCTGGCTGAAGATTTGCCTTTGAAAGTTTAGAAAAGTCTGTYGAACATCTCCTGGAACACTTTTATACTTGTACATACAGTATTTTATAATTCACATAGCTGCTTTTTATACTTAACTTGGACTGGACTTATGTACATTATATCTTTTTTCAGGAAGATCAAAAAACATATTTCTTCCACCCCTATTAACAGTGATGATCATGCTGTTAGATTACTTTCTATTGCAGTGAATACAAAATAAAAATGTTTGGAATTGAGTGACCTTCTGCTATTGTGTTTTTAAGGGGATGCACTKTTGTTTTCAAAGGCTTAATATGCTTCTGAATTACAAATGCAATAAAAGTTGAATTGTGCAAATGTAAATAGACCCTCRCAGAGCTGTTTCCATGTATCACACAGCAATGGGTACCAATTCTGTTTTCTCTTGCTGCTTTTTAGGAGTTTGGTATTTGGAAAAAGCTTACAAACCTAGTAGATGCCAAGGAGGATCATCGAAGGTTAGATTTCTCTTACCTAAGCRTGAGCTTAAGATACAGATATTTCCTCAGTGAAGATAATCATGTAGTGCAATTAACTTGTATCTGATTTCAGTCCTTTTGAAGAAAGTAGCATTTGAATCCAATTTTATGCAAATGTCATAGTCCAGGTATTCTCTGGTCAGTTTTGATAATTCATTAATTATACAGTGCTACTAAAATCTGCACATGTCAAAATTTCTCCCGCTTTCTAATTTGTAAAACAATTTGACTTAGGGAATCAAAATAACCTGATAGTCAATTCATGCTCTGACATATTTGCGTATGATCTACTCTTAATAGTAACTTTGACTTTCCAATTTTGGTTTAAAAAAATAAATACTGCTTTAATCCATGTATTTTATCTTTTAAAGAGAATTAATAAATCAGATGTAAATATCTGAGATGAAGATGAAGTTCTGAGATGAAATTTCTGAGATGGCCTGTGTTTATCACAGAGGATAGCTTTTATTCCGTATTACTTACTGGTTTAGTCAGAATGTTAAAAGTAACAGCTAAAACTTAGTAGATGGATGGTTAATAAATACTAGTTGTGTAGAACAAATGGCATGGTTGTTCGGTAAAACATTAAACTCCATGCTCACAGTAATCTAGAAGCTTCAACACAGAATATAAAAACATGGCATTTGCTACTGTGGCTAGGAGCTAGTGATTTACACTAGATGTGAACAGAATCTGTCTTTCTGTGAAGATCTAGTCATTTCTGATAGAAAATAAAATCAGAGTTGAGAGAACTTATTGAAATAACTCAACCTTTATATAACAGGTTGAAATCCAAGGCAGGCAGACAGTTGTCCCTACTTTAAGTCCCTGGTGTTAAGGGGAAAGGAAGGAGAGGTGARAGAGGTATGGGAAAAGTTCTGTCAACTATTTTTTACTTTTTGTAGGCAGTCTGTACATGTTAGAGAAACAGTTAGTCCTGATTACTGGGGAGGAATCAATAAACAGTAGGACAGGTGGCAGCTTTCTTAAGAGCCCGGTTTGTTGCTCCTCCTGCTCATCTTGGGGGCAATCGTGCTTAGCCCTCAGTTAAGTCTTACTGCAGATGAACATCTCTGTGCCACAGCCTACGGCTACTCCTGGGAAATAGTATCCAAGTTGTTTTGGTATTGCAACCACAACAATTCTGCTAAACAAAGCCATGTTAATTTTGGATTCCATTAAAACKATAACATTTGTCAAAGCAAAGGGTAGTAGCAGCAGGAACCATTTAAGTGGAATTTTAAAGGAAGGACAGTGAWTATTATTATTGTTTACCTTTAAGCCATGAAGTTTTAATGTAGACCATGACTTTATTCTAGAGATTTGAAGTCTTTTTGTGTAATTAAGATATTCACAGAATCACAAAATAGTTGAGGTTGGATGAAATTCTGGAGCTTATTGGTCCAATGCTCAGGCGCAGTCAGCTGGGGCAACTCAATTAGCAGTTCCCATTGATGCTTTTCTTAATGAAGAAAAATCTACAGAATGGCAATTGTGGGTGGCTAGATGAAGTAAGTCTGCTGAGATTTGACAGTCATGGTATYTTATGCATATAATTCTTTGCAAACCTTGAAGACAGTAGTAACCTCTACAATCTTTCTTTGCCAAACCATGGAGCACCATGTATGTATCTGCAATGGTAAATGTAAATTTGGGGTACTTTATCCAAGTATCTTCCATCTTTAGTGTTGTTAAATCCCCTTAAGCAGCTCCTGCACCTGAGAAGTGTATGTATTACAGGCATATTCCCACAATACAGCTGTGTATTATGCAGTAAAAAAAAATCATTTTCTCTTCCAAGTTTATCTTTGCTTTTAAGAACCTTTTTGTAAAGTATTGTTGCAATTTTTGTTAATTGCTRTATAAATGAGAGGATTAAAGAAAGAACTGGAGTAGCCAAGCTAAAGAAAGATGCTTTTCCAGACCGGTGGGATGTTGCAGGAACAGAGGGGACTTACTAATTCTGTGAYGAAGAAAGGTATCCAGCACAGTACAAAAACCCCAATTAAGATGCCAGTCGTCAAAACTGCCTTTTTTTCTTGTTCTCTCCATGTTTCTCCATCTGTCTGGAAAGTGATAGCTGCATGATGAGCTGTAAACACCATCTGTGGTTCACGCACAGCTTCCTTCACCTCAGAACAAAAGCAAACATGGATTCTTACCAAGACAATTTGTTTGAGTGAAGTATTATTTTTAAATGACAGCACGACATCTGTGCACCAACCACAAAAGACCCAACTCCATTCCTTCCATGCTGAAAGAAGCATCCCAGAGCGCCAAGCTTACTAGACTTCTCATTATGTTGGGAAGTCTTCTGAATGTGACTGACAAACAAAGGTAAATAAAGACTAACTGATGCCATGGGGATTGTGGGCACTCTTTTCTCAGTTAATTTTAGTGGACGCTTTGATGCCTAAAGGGAAATCATGTTGTTAAAGAAAGGCTAAAAAGGCACGCATCTTATGCATAGCCCTAAATTAGGATCTGCATTGTCACAGGATCTTTGGGGTTTCTCAGGCCTGAATCATAAGTATATTTCATTCCACAGGAGGTCCTTTGGGTCATTTCCCCATGCACACATCCTGTGTGGGTGCTGGAGCACGGCTCCACTGGTCCTTCAGAACTCAGCTAACCCTGCTGAGATATTTTTCTATCAGAACATTTTTTAATGAAAGACTAGGATTTCAAGTAAATGGAATCCTGTAAGAAAAGTGTCTGATCTTCTGAAAATATTAGCATTTCATTATTAGAAATGTCATCTTGACTACCTGAAATAGAATTGAATATTTTGGATATATTTCAGTAGAAAGTAAATCTATCAATATCCCATTTTACGACTTTTTCTTCATTCTGCTCAGTTCTACTTGCAATCTCACAAAAAGTACTGAGTTCATTACTGGAAAAAAAAAAAAAAAAGAAAACGAGAAAGAAAAATCATTTCACACAGCCCTCAGTACATACTTTAGCTTCCMCAGGAGGTGCAGGAGAAAGCAGAACATCAGCTACACTGAGCTACTGGCCGTGCCTTTGTCTCCTCTCTTGCTGAGGGCCAGGCATTTAGCTGCACAGTGCTCTAGCTGGCAGCAAGACTGTGCCAACAGGTTCTGCACACAAATTAGTTCTGTGTTCAGAATTTGCCCAGAAAAACATATTTCTGTGTAATTTTACTGCCATGATTGAAGTATCTGTGAGTTTATAGTTCTGATAACCACTGCAATTATGAGGAAAGCAGTTTAAGGATATATCCTACGGCTCTGAAATTTGTCTAAAAGATGATTCACAGTTTTATAGGATTCATAGAATTGCAAAATCTTGACATCTTTCCAAAGACGATTTGTGGTTTAGAAATTAGCTATCTGTTCTATATTCAGATGCCCCCTTTGTGCAAGCGTTATAAGAGATGAAGTGCCTCTGTTTAATACGAGCATTGCAACTCCACGAGTGAAGCGCTGGCAGAAGCCAGGCAATCACTCTTCAAGATGGATATCCCTGTCTCCGCTCTCAGTCACGAGACATGACTGCAGAATGAAAGAGCAGCAGATTATGAGTGCGCGCAAATAATAGAGGAAATGAAAATCACATCTGTCTGGACAATTAAAATGGGACACCCCTCATGTAGCAAGGATCACATCATTTGTCTGCAGAAGGACTTGCTCTACGTACCCTTAATCATGCCCTGCAGAAAGGGATGCATGACATGAGGGCAAATCTGCAACAAACAACCCTGGAAGATTATATTTTACCTGTGAGGAATGGCGACATAAGCATGCCTCTTGAGAAGGGCCCTACAAAGGATTTTGTCACTTGCATAGCACATATTTCGGGTACTATATCCAACCTTCAACCCTTACTCAAACAGAAAGAGCTCACAGTTTGCCATCGTCAGAGTGTTTCTTTCTCAGTACTTTCGGACCTCAGTTTTGTGACTGAATCCCGACCTTCAGGTTGTGCCATCCTTGTTCTTGTTGAGCAAGGCCTGTTGTATGAATGTGTTCAATAATTTAAAAGGGCCCTATCCAACAGGAACTGGTGCTTTTGAAGTGGTGTCCCACTTATTTATTTCCATTGGTCTATATTTACAGAGAAAACTATGACCTGCCTTCTGGCAGGAGGGTAGGACAGGCTCCACCACTTGATTGAAGATGGCACCTGCATGAGGGGCGCTCACATCAGCAGGGACCATCAAATTGTTTCTTCAGCCTTTCAAATGAGCAAACTATTACAGAAGATTCGGCCTAATTTAGAGTCCGTATCCTGCAATTTCAAGTTTTGAAGAGAAATATGAAAAACCTGGGGCAGTAGGCTCTACTATATTGTAATGTATGAAAAGATCTCAGCTATTTCCCTGAAATTTCAGATTTTTTCTTAAAAGGCTTTTAAAAAATGTTTTTTGAAAACTCAAAATGTTCTTTGGAAAGTAAAATCTTAGTCAAATGACTACGCAAAAGTTTGAACTTGGATAGACATCTCTTTAAGAKAGTAGGAACTGAGCCCCCTCACCTCAGTGGCCCGGCACTCCCACTGCCATGTTCCCCTCAGCCGCCCCCCCAGACTGCAGCGGTGGCCATTTTAGCAGCAGCCATTCTAAGGGCAGCCATTTTAGCCTGTGGTGGCGGCCCYGTCTCCCCTACAGGTCTTTTTGTTAAGGGCTCCAGGCTGTTATGAAATGACCTTTGAGGCCATGGAGGTTATAGGGGTGTATTTCTCATTTAAAAGAAATCCCTTAAATTCCCTCCTGCATTTTTAGGGCTGTTTTGAAGCAGAGTAACAACAAGCCAGCTCTGCACAAACACCGTGCCTCTGGCCTTTGAAAAATGGGTCGCGCTCCCAGTTGATTTAGAACAAGCACCTGAAAACTCAAAATCAAAGTGCTTCAAAAATAATCTTAAGCTTCTCATAAAACCTTATTTGAAGGTCTCTGAGAGCTTTGGGCATGGTGACCTGCATGAGGTGAAGGACTGCAACGATAAGTACTGTGGCTTTAGGAGGTAAGTGCTCTCCAGTGCCACATCCTTGCATCCTCTCTTAACAGGCATTCCCACCCAACATCCTCCTGTCGGATACCAGCACAGTTTCTGTGGGTGATACCAAACAAAACTGCAGGTGGTTTTTCCAAATTCCCAGACTACRTAGTGCTGCCGAGAGCTCTCCAGCAGGGCTTGGAGGTGGTGATGGTCAAAACAAAATATAAGATCAAAGGAGATCTGTGAAGATCATTTGCTGAGATACAGTTATAGTGACTGACTGAAGCAACATAGAGTTTTGGGATGGGGTGTTTGATCTTTTTGAAATAAGAATTATTTTATGGGCCAGTAATTGATAATTAATTAATTCCAGTTTGCGTGGCCGTGATTAATGGCTTCTGCTGCCACCAATAAGGTTAAGAAGGAACTTTTATTATTGTTATTATTTATTATTTTAACTATGCTGTACAAAACATGGACTTTCCACTGCTGTATTTTACTATCTTTAAGAGCTAGATTCAAAATATTTAGGAGCCCACATCCATTGACTTCTGTTGTAACTGAAAATGGAGGGTTAAGGTACATAAATACCTCTTGGCTGCTAGTTCTAGATCACTTCAAAGCTGTGTAGCAACTCTTTTCCCATTTTTTTCTAAGTTGTAAAGAGTTTACTGACAGTTTACATAATACTCCACCTTTGGCCCACATATTACTATTGCTCTATTTCATTGCCATTATAGACAATGTGGAGTGAATGTACAGCAAAACATCTTTCTTTGTATGAAATTACCAAGAGTATATATCTGGAATCTATAGATGTCTATTTTTCTGACAGATAATTTTGAATATATATATATATAAAAGTAAAGATTTCCATAAAGTTTGGGATGAATTAACACCTTTACATCTTGGGAACCTTCACAAATAATGTACTTGGAAGTGGTAGCAGTACAAAATGGCCTCCAGCTTTTAAGAAATCCTAAACCTAAGAAATCTAGTGCTTATTCTCTTCAGCTTCTGAAAGAACTGAAAACAGAAGGAGCAGCTGTGACTGGTGGTGCCATCTGCAARGCTGGTATTTATGAGCAGCTCAGGTTGTGAGTCTGTTTTCTCACTCATCCATCTTCCCMTAAAGAAAGGGTTTTATTAATTAGAAGTGACAGTGTACCAAGAACAATTACCAAGGAAGAGTCAGTAACTCTTACAGATATCCATCATCTTTCAAACTGTAAGAATGAATGTCTAGTTTTAGGTAACACTTAATATTCTGGTGACTCTCAGCATTCATAGCCGATTGCAAYCACTTACAGACATGCCCAGAAACCCCTGCATGGCTAAACATGTGCAGCTGACAGTCAAAGAGGAATATTTGAAAGACTGTGGAATTATTATACAAGGTTTTACACAGCCTATGATAATCATCTTTTTTAATTCTGTCCAAGAGTAAAAAAATAGAACTTTACGTTCTTGTATTGCAGCTTACAGAACTGTTTGGGAAGAAGATCTGTTATCATAGAGTCTACTCAGATATTTTTTAGGGTGAATGCAGTTCTTAAGCTGGTTGACACTGATGGAACAAATAGAGAGTATGTCAAGACAGCACCCACATTTTCCGTTCATCTTCTATCCTCTTAAGGGCACCCTACATCTAACTGTTCTCACAATTCTCTATCAGAAGTACAGCTAAGCGAAAGGAAAGTCGTCTCTTCCCCTGTGACAATGCAATAACGGCATTTGACACAAACATTAAAATGTTTTCGACTTTGACATATGCCATTTTAGATGGAAAGAGGATTCCAATGGAAGAGGCTGGGTTCCTTCTGCCAGAGCTCCTCTATACACCTAGAGCAAACAAAAGTGTCAGGAGCAGTTGTATCATGAATACTCTTATCTAGCCTAGGAGGTRAAGTCTTGAAGTCAGAGTGAAGAACAGAGATTTTACTCTGTGTTTCCCATTAAGTTGCTTCAGAGCTCCATTCAGCATTACTATTTTAGTTTGAAAAAGCGAACACCTGCTAAGGAAAAATACCTGGCTCTTGTTGTCAGGGCTTTAGGCTTACATGGAATACCTTGCAGGTATAGAGGGTTGAAGTGACTAGGGATTGAAGTGACATCTTTTGAAAAGGACAGTGTTTCCTGTCAATACACACCTTCCTTATACACTTCACAGTGGGAAGTTGGAAGGTCTTTACTGAAAGACTTTCAATCTTTACTTTTTGTCCTTCCTGGCAGATACTGCTTCCCCTGAATCTTAGGCTCCTCGTTGGAAAGGGTAAGCAAAGCTCGGGTAGTTTGCTTAAGCTAAGCCAGCAACTTAAAACATCTACACCATAAGAAACAGCTAATTACTGCCAAGAAATAAACACATTTCTTACAGAGAAGCAGAAGCAGGTAGATAACCTTGCACCAGTGCTCAAATATTTTTGCTCTCCATTGTCAATAAACCCCCCCACGCTCTAGCCATGACGTTCACCCTGAAACATTTGATGGCAGTACCTTATTTGACCAGTRTTGTACTGCAACATTACAGCACAGGAAACTTGTATCATGACAAGGTTTTTCATGATTACGAGCAGTAGCTTAGCAATTAAATGCTCCTTTATGGACCTGTCCATATGACCACCTCAGAACTGTCAAAAAAAACTCTTCCAGTTCAAGCAGGATGGTTTTGATCACCCCATTAAGTGTTTTAAAGAGTCCAATTTCTTTGTCAAGGTTCTCAGAGACAGAAGACAATTTCTCAAGACTTACAGTATTAGTCCCCCATCTATCAGTCACTGTTATGAGACAAGCCTTGAGAGGCTGATGGCTCAAGTCTATTAACCGCTCACAAGATTGATAACACGATAAATTGTAAAGGAAACGGTAGATTTCCAATCAGATTGACAATCTTTTTAAAACTTGCAGCATCATAGTAGAATAGACGCTGCCTGATACAAGCAGATCCTCCATTAGAAACTGTTTTTCAAATGTACTTTCATAAAAAAAATACCTGCACAAGCCAGAAAACTGAAGCTCCTCGCTTCAATACCTAGTCTCAGCTCTAGAATTTCTCTTGGGAACAGTCAGGAAATGACAGTGTGAAATAGCACTGTACAGTTTCTTCTCATGGGACAGCCATTATATAGCTAGAMTATTTAAGTAAAAGCAAGAGTATTAATTTTAACTCATGAGGTGGGAGAGAAATGATGCTCCAAAATGCTTCTGAAAATATCCTCTCTAGGGTGAGCTAGTGCTTCTATAGGGCAATATCATCTAGTCTCATCTTCTAAATGAGATTTTTAAATCTAAATGAATACTCCGTTACACTGCTTGTGCCTATGTAACCTATTTTCATCTTTACAGCCCCTTATATCTCTTTAAGTGATTAATTTTTCCGTTCAAACAAGTCCAACAGAATTAATGTAAGTTGATTCCCATAATGGAACTGCGCAGCCTGCAAACATAGGCAAGAACCTTTCACCTGTTCGAGGCAGCAATCTCAGAGACAGTTCTTAAAATGAACTGTTAAAAATGGAACAGAGCTGTTCTYGCATCTACATTTACAGATTTATAAGCAAACAGAATCAAAGTTTAAAACTCAACTGAGTASTTTGTTCATAATTAATGTTGCCCACTTATAAGAGCAGATGCAGCTTTTTTGTTGCAACCCTGGAAGCATGAGACATTCAACCACCAACAATGAAAGTAATATATTTTAATATTTTAAAAGTATTTTGACATATCACAAGTTCTTAGACCAGTATTAAGAGCCTTTAAAAGTTACAGGGCTGTAGCTCAGCTGTTTCACAAGAGAAAAATTAAGAACCCTGCTCTGTTGTGGCTGGAGCGAGCACTCGCCTCGGAGCCAGGGGGGCCCTCGCACCACCCACGCTGTTCTCCCCGAGAGCCATCTCCTCACAGGGTGAAAACCCAAGCTCCGACACTCTTCCCCAGTACTTCTATGCACAGATTACTATGTGCAATCTGACATGTTGATTTTTAAAAATAAAATTGATTACAGTCCATATTACCCTGGAAAAAATATCAATGCCTTTGGATTCATAATTGGTCCTGGATAACATTTTACATGATACAGAATGCAAAATAAAATTAAGATGTTTAACTGTAAAAACTTGGGGGCTGGAGTTCTGCATTCTGTAACACTTGAACTCTTCCTTGCACTGATGGATTTACATTTTTGAAATACTATTTCCTTCACCACCTGAGCCTCATGAGAATAATAGTTACCTATTTTGGCAGTGGTATGAACTTGTAATACACATTTCCTCTGCTTACTTTGAACACCTTGCGTATTTTTTTTCCTGTTTATTCTCTGTATTTGTGGTAATTGCCATGTGTATGCTATGCTCTTCCATTTTGGTCTTCTCTATTTCTTCTTCAAAATCTCTCTCTAGTACCGCTAAATACTATCTCATTTTTTTAATCTTGGACACAAGCACATTTATAATGTATTCTTTCAGCCCCTCGATCGTGTGGCAGTATTTTTATCTTATTCACCGATCTGATAGACTAAAACTAAGCAATTCACTTTTGTAATTTACAAAATAAAACTGCAACAATTCTCATTGCATCAGGTTTACATAGCATTTTAAAACTCATGATGTGGGCCAAGAGCTTCAAATGACGTATTCTGCTTTTCTTGACTCTATGTGCATATTTGTAAGAGGAAATGCTAGCCAATTCCAAATGGGTAAATGCAGGTTATCAAGAACACAAAGTAAATCTCATCATTTCACTAGAATAKTAGCATTTTATCATAAAATTAAAAAACAACAAAAAAAAACAAAATAGGTGCCATGACTGTAAATAATTACAGACTCATTCAGTCTTAATTACATTCATATATTCTGTTCTAAAGCAATCTCACCTATATTCTCCAGCATTTTTTTTGACAGTTTTGCAGCACTAGAAAATTCTGCAGTGATTCATGTGAACAAAAATCCCTTTTAYACTGTAAAAATATTTTCAGAGACTTAGAGCTCTTCTGCATTTCTGAGCCCTGATGTCTCTTGGTTGCATGTGATCCCAGACTACAATCTGTCCGTATGTCCTCCCTATCCCAAACCTTTTCAGAGGTGTGCAGATGCATATAAAAAAAAGGGAAAAAAAGCAAATTCTCTTATAAAAAGATTTTTCTTTAATATAGTACTGACTAACCATCTTCTTCCTTAATATGAGCAAGGCAAAACTGGCAGACGTATCTTCATTCTCCCTCCCCACAAGTCATCCTKAAAGATAAAGCTAGCAAAGACAAAACAAACAAAAATAAAACATTAACAGAGCAGTTTCAACTGGAAGTAACTGTGAGCTAGTTTTGATCAAGGTAGTCTTTTCTAATGACAGAAACCATTTTAATGAAGGGATGATTAACGAGAAAACTGACGATTGTCTGATTTCCTGTTAATGTGTTTGAAGATTTTAGCTTTATGGACGTTCTTTGCTTTCTGGTAACCAAATCCTCCACCTCCACCTCTCTTCTGTAGTCTTCTGCCTTGGTTGCTGTTCACATCTGAAATTGCTTTGGTTAAGGAACTCAAAGAGCCATTTGAAATGCTGCCTTTTTTTTTTTTTTTTTTTTGAAAAGGTATTGTGAGAGTTGAGAAAAAAATAACAACATCATACACAAAAAGTTGATTTGTGCAATTACATCTACTACATCTGAAACTTACATTGTGCCTTACTTATTGTCATTCAATGAATGCATTTTATCCTTCAGCTGTCCAGCTGAGTAGACCAAAGCATCACTGCTTCAAATTCCACCTTCTGGCTAGTTTGAGAATAATCAAAAAACCAATCCTCTATTTCATGGCCTGGCCCGTCTATTTCAACATTCCACAATTACTACATGTCAGTGCATAACTCAGAATGAAAATGGTGCTACATCAAACAACACATTACTCTAGAATATGTGTGTAATATGCACACCTGCTAACCTGCAGCATCTGAAGCATTAACATATGTGCAAAGGTGTTCATAAGCAAAYATTAACACTAGAAAAAGAACATTCAAAGTTTTCTTTGACAACTGTTCTAAGCAGGATGCATGTGATTAATACCAAAAGTGAGAAGGGGGTAAGGAGGGAAGAAAAATCAATCTTAATTAACCTTAGGTACTTCAACAAGTTGCACTGACCATTTAGAGCAGAAATTCAGCTCTGAAACACGGCAGTAAAAGGATACTGAGGTCAACAAATGGAGGGACTTTAAAACCAAATGAAAGGCTGACTTTGGGCAGATCCAGGTTGTTGACGTTGTAGATCTGTTTCAGAGAGTGGGAGTCATAAGCTCTAATGTAGGCCTTGTAGGCTTCCTGGGCCGACTTGTGAAGGAAGTAGTTCTTCTCAATCAGCTTCTCCAGCTGGTGAGGAAAAAAAGTGAGAAAGATACATCCAATTCTGCGAGTAGAAACTGCTTAAATTACAAGCATACAAATTATTTACTGTGCGAGTTGCAATGACGTTCACTATTCACCTCAGGAAAAATGCTCTATGACATATTTGTGTGCTCTACTGTATGAGAGCACTTTTATACCACTCCACAAAACCACATGGGCTTAAAATTAGGGGACACCACCCCTAGGCCTCTAAACTAGTCATCTAGATTCTTCGTATCGTGTCTCTATGATGCTGCAAATTCATCATAAATAAGCAGTGTTCATTCTAGACAAAAATGCACATTTGCTAGTGTTAACAGAGGTGTTTCATTAGCTGAGGGTTAAGTTCCCAATGCTGTCACCTCTAAATCGGACTATCTCATTTGACCTTTGACATTGATTTGGCATACAAAAAATAGGCTGCATTTGATCACATTACTTCCTAATTACTGCTCCCCAGGAACCTCTTTCTGTAAGGACTGTCTTCTGTGCTTCCTCTACTTGCTATTTTAAATTTAAGTTACAGCAAAGATGTTTTACAGAGCTCATAAAAAACAATAATTCACATAAAAATAGAAACAGAGTCACTTTGACAGACTATCTAYTCTATTACAAAAGTACAGATAGTATGTCAATGTGAATTTCTATTCCAATGAAATAGCACTACAGTTCTATTTGAATATCTATACTACTCTATTCCAATTTCATAGCTGCTTTGTGGCACTAGAGCACAGGTTTGCCTGCAGCCAGGTTTTATTTSCATCAAAACGTTAAAATATCACTGGTATACCTAGAATACATACCAGCATTTTTAAGTGTTGCTCATACATGTCTTTTAGCTTGCTGAAGGTGGAAGAAATTATCTTACAAGGCATATGTTACTAATAGTTAATTTGAACACTTAAAACTTTAATAAAAGCTTTCCCAAGTCTGTGTTTGCTGTGCTAGACAAACACTTACTCCAAAGCTGAAAATAAGTCTTACATTACCATGGCACTGTGGCATAAATGAAAAAGCAGTTCTTAAATATAAACTAAAAATGGGTAAATTTATAGGAACTTTTCAAAGCATTTGCATTAAAAAAGTCATAAAACACATGCTGTAGCATGAGGTCATTTTTATACCTGAGACTGGATATCTGAAACTTTTGACCACGAAAACTCAAATTCACTTAATGGTACCTTAAAAAAAAAAAAAAAAATATATATTTATACTGAATACACAGTGACTGAGTTTTAGACCTAAGCTAAACAGGAAAAACTCTGTTTTGTCACAGTTATTACCTATTTCTTTAAAAATCTTTATCAGTTAATATGTGATTATAACTCTATAAAGTTCAAAGATAGTTTTGAAAAGGTAAAGCATACCTGGATATATGTTTGAGGATTCTGACATCCCCTTTCATTTAAAAGGACGATCCTGACATTATTACCTTCTGAGATACAAAGTACCTTTACACCAATAATAATGTCAACATTATTGCTTTATCTGAACCACTGCAGTAAAGATGTTCACTATGATTCTTTATCACTTTAAGCTAAACCAATTTAGTTACAAGTGGCAAAAAAATGCAGTGCAAATAAAGTGAAGAGAAAACCAACTCAGAAACTATGTTCTATCATATTAAAAACATTATATTTTGAAAAGGGCTACTGTTCCTTGGACACTGAACAAAATGCAATTCTTTGAGAGGTAAAAGAGCAACTGCAAACAACAAAATCCAAATTTTAATTCCCACTGGAGGGCCAAACTCCAAGTTTCCTTCCACTCAGTGATCACAGGAAAATACTTTTATAGCACACTTCTAAGCTCAGTTGCAAAGCAAATATTATCAACCATTTATGACGGTTACCTTTGTGCTGCTTCCCAAATACTTCAGCTAAGTTTTCAGTTAAATATTTTCTAAATAATAAAATGATTTTTGCTTAAAATCTAAAATATTTGATTAATCATTACAATTTCTGTCTTTAAAAATCTGCTTGCATAGTTAAACATAAATATTATACTCCAGTTTACCCTGGCTTGTTTCAGGTAACGAAGAAAGCCCAGTTCTTCTGGTCGCAAAATGAGCAACGCGTGGCCTCTACCATTGATACCTCGGGCAGTTCTTCCGACTCGATGAATGTATTCCTTTTGGAAAGGACAAAGAAATGTCCAGTCAGTCTTCCACACRTACCATTCTCTGAACAGCTCGCAGAAAAACAAACTTAACACTAATACAGGTCAGTGATTTAAAATTCATTCTTASTTAAGACGCGAGACAAGAATACCTGATAGGGTTTCACCTTCCACTGCGAACAAGACCTTGGTTTGCAATAGCTGAAGTTTAAGCTTTTAACATGTAAGCTCTGTGTGTTTCTGAAGACTTGAGTGTTATGAGTTTTGCTCATTTGAGCTAGACATCTATTCAAATGAGAATTTTCTTTTTAAATAAAAACYAAAATTCCATTGTCAAACCTCTTCCGAAAATTGAGGATGCATATATAACATCAKACTCCTTTTAAAGATTAATTTATATTTTAAATTGCTTTAATAGCATGAACAGTAATACTTTACRGTCCAACTCTATTAAAAAGATACCAAAGGTTTTACCCATTTTCTAGAAACTGGTCAAAGGGAAGTGGAAGACATTAGCTGCTGAAGTGCACATGGYTGGAGCCTGACCTCTGTCATGCAGCAGACTGACATTTTCTTAGCAGCTACATTTGTAGTTAGGGCTTGATTTGTTGCTAGGAAGTTATTCTGTTTTCTCAACTTACTTTTGGATCATCCGGAGGGTCATACTGGACAATCCAGTCCACTTCAGGAATATCCAGTCCTCTAGCAGCTACATCAGTGCACAACAGTATTCCAGATTCGGCATTACAGAACTGGAAAAATGTTGTAGTACGTTTGGTTTGCTTCTGCTTGCCCTAGAAGTAAACACATTAGATACAAAACTTCAATCAAAAAAGTCTGTCATCTTGTGATCTTAAATACAATTTCCCATTTTCAATATTGTATCAGCAACAAAAGTATAAAATAATTTACAGCACCTTGGCATCTAATGCATCCACATACTCATATAGGCAAAGAACTATTTCTGAAAGAAACACCAGCTTTCCACACACAACATAAATTATTTGTGTTTCAGCCTGGGTTTGGAAACTAACAAGATAACATTGACACGTTGTTACTAGATAGTCTTTGCTTTATCTCCTTCCTTCACAAACTAGTCTCAAGCTCATCCTCAATTTCTGAGCAGGGCATCTTTCTACTAGAAACTGCCAYGAAATAAAGGAAGGCAAAAAGAAAGGTCAGTAACAACCTACAGGTACTATCAAATTGATTAAAAATAAGTTGATCAGCAAAATACTTACATGAATGGCCATAACGGGCAAATCAATATAGTTGAGTAACTCATAATGGTACTTCACTGACATACATGAAGAAAAAAACACCATCAATTTCTTTTTCCGATTCTTCTTGAGGAAGGTGAAGAGCAAAAGGAATCTTTTTTCYGACGGACATACCACATAGCCCTGGAAATTACTCAACATTGTAAAATAAAGCAGTATGAAATACACTTCTAATTCACTAATACAACTGTATTTTGGGTTTATTATGCTCTGAAACAAATATGCCAGATATTTCTGGAAGAGAATTATCTGGTTAAATATTCCTTTCACGATCTGTCCCTCACTTCGGCACATGAAGCATCTTTATAGAATCCTGGTCAGAAGGGACTTCTAGAGATCATCTAGTCCAATCCTCAATCTTAAGTGAGGTGATGAACTTGACAAGAATCTTTTTGGACTACCTTGAAAAAAAAAATCTCTAATAACAATTGTTACAGAGAGCAGACTGAATAAATCCCTTCAGGCAACTGATAGCTTTCACTGGTTAGGACGGTAAACACTCTCTAAAGCAGTTTTTATGTAACTGGCTTGRCAACATGAAAACATGACCTTGGTACATCCACACACCATAGTCCTTTTAATAGTATTTGTTTTTACCTGTTCAAGACCGTCTACTGTTGCTGTTTCCTTGTTATCATCAACCCCAACATATAGCGGCTCTTTCTTTAAAGAGATCTTAGCCAGATCTTCAACCTTTCTGGTTTGAGTAGCAGAAAAAAGCATTGTCTGTCTGCGCTCTGGAAATATTAATTTTGAAACACTTGTTCAAATTGTTCAAATGTTCGAATAAAATTCTTTATATATAAAGAAGATATATATATAAATATATAAAGAGATATAAAGAAACTTCTAGCTGCACRTGGAAAGACTTTTTTTTTACGGTATTTAAAGATTATTATGGCATAAGGAACTGTAGGAAATAAAACATGCACTCAGAGAAGGATGAACGACATAATGTGGAAGATAAACTATAAGGATCTCACATGAACCATTTATATGAATAATACCTAGAAAGTGCATCTAAAATTCTGTGCATCAAATAAATGATGCTAAATATTATATACTAGTTATCTGAAAAAAGGCAGAATAAGACAATCACTCTCAAGTGTTTACAGAACTATAAAAATTAATGACTTTTCTTACAATAATTGAGTAGTAAAGAAGACACAATGTCAGTCAAGTGATTTTCAGGAAGGATTGATTTTTTTTCTTACTTGGTAGAAGTTTTATGATCTGTTTCATTTCTTCTTCAAACCCAACCTCTAAGATACGATCTGCCTCATCAATTACTAAGCACTGCAAGTTCTTGTACATGAAGCCCGGAGTGTTCTAAAGATTAAAAAGCTYAGTCAGACAGTGACACAGGTCTTGCTGTGTTTTTTAATAATGCACGTGAGAAGCCAATACTTTCCCTACCTGCATATGATCCAGAAGTCTTCCTGGTGTTGCCACTATGATGTTGATGCCATTTCCAAGTTTCTGAGCTTCTGCTGATCTGTTACTGCCCCCCATTATCAGACCATAGGTGTGAACATGATGATTCATAAGTTCTTTAAGAACTCCATATGTTTGCATGGCGAGCTCTCGAGTGGGTGAAAGAATAATAACGCCCGTCCCTGAAAGAGGAAAAAAAGAAAAACACAAGAGAAAAAAATAAAAACTTTAAATTATAACAGCTCATCCTGCCCCTTTCATAGCCCTATCCCTTAATGACTGGGTCTCTGTAAAATTCGACAATGAATTGAAAGAAGTGCCTTACCATTTCTAGGCATGAATTTCAGCTTGTAGATGAGCTCCACTGCAGGAATAAGAAATGCAAGTGTTTTGCCACTGCCTGTTTTCGCTGCTGCCAAAATATCCCTATATACATAAGAGTTAGAAGCTCTTAGTTAATTAAAACACAATCCTGTTTTGAATGAATTTGAATGACTGATAATGTGAAAGCATAACATGCCTCAAAGAAACTAGTGTGATAAGATTAAGAGCTCAATGGCAGATCTCATCCACTGATCTATGTATCTCTGGAAGTCCTATGGGACACACTAACACAAGAGACTAATGAAAACAGATTTCCCTGCTTTCACTAAAACTACAAAGCATTTTCCAAGATTTCAGCCTGGGTATTTCTTCCCCGGGTATATACACCATAGATATACTTTGCTAACTTGKAACAGTAATTATAAACAAAAGAAATATTTAAATCACATGATTTTAAAAAATATTCAATTTTTAGCAGAAARTCATCTGTCAAGTATTTAATTTGTGAGCAAGATTTATATGCTGTTCAAGATCAATGCAGCAACATGAAATAAACATAAATTTCTTACCTGCCTTCTAGAAGAGGTTTAATACTTTTATGCTGAATTTCTGTCATGTTTGTGAAGCCCATATCATTTATGCCTTTCAAGGTGTTCTCACTGACAAGACCAGCAAGGGAAGCAAACGCAGTGTCTTCAAAAGCACCTGAAGAGGCACAAAGAGAGAAGAAAAAACAAAACAAAAAACCAAACTTGTTTCTTCAACCTTATCCATCCCCTGAAGCGATCCAGTTTTAATTTACCTAAAACATAAAATCAGAATATTTTTTCCTATACCTTCCTACTATAGGACTCTATGATGTGACAAAATACTCGATACTAACGTGTTCCTATACATACTAGACGGAGCTGTTAAAAATGAACATTAACGCACTGGTTTTTATGCCAAACTTAGTAGTCATTTACCTCTACATAGAAAAAAAATTCAAAGGCAATAAACACACATATATACATCTGAAAACACACATGCGCTACATACATATACATACAGTATACACACATACACATAACACATATATATATGGTATATATGTTTTCAACCAGGTTTTTACTGGTGAATTTAAGACCAATCAGGATTATATATAATTCAAATTCCACTACACTAGTAGTATCCTATATAAACAGTTAAGTGCCTGATCCTTAACAAATTTGAAAATGGCAACTTGCCCTTGAATGTGCTAAAATACAAGATACCTGTTACACCCAGTGGCAAACTGGGCACTTCATCCTCCTCCTCCTCTGCTTCTGCTTTCTCTCCCGAATCCTGCCCATCTTCATCTTCTTCTCTCCGTGCGGGCTCATCTTCTTCAGTCTTTGCTTTTTTAGTCTCTGTACCTAGTAGGTTATTTTATATGAAACAAATAAATAATTTTCTATGTAGACATAAAAAACATACCAACCACAACAAACAAACAAATAAAAAATAAAAAGAGAGGGCTGTGCAAGGAAAAGCGATGCAAAATGCACTTCATCACTCTGCAGGCCGCTCTTACAAACCTCACGCTCTCCTCATCTACCGGTCTGGAAGGGGCTGGTGGGGGGCACCGTCCCCTCGCCTCCCCCGCACACACAGCTTCTATGAGATCTCGTGTATTTAGAAAATCAGCGACCACGGGTCAGAGAGGCGGGAGCGGAGCCGTCGCGGGGCTGAACCCGCCGCTCCGGTTCTGCCTGCGGGGAGCAGGGCCGGCCGCGGCGCCACCACGTACCGTCCTCGGCGCCCGCCGGCACCTTCCTCTTCTTCCTCTTCTTCCTCTTGGCCTCCGCCAGAGCCGGGGCCGCTGCAGCCGCGGCCTCCGCGGGAGCCGCCGCCGCCTCTTCYTCCTCCTCCTCCGTGGGCCCCGGCGAGGCCGCCTCGGCTGCGGGGAGCGCAGAGGGCCGCGTCAGAGCACGCGGGGAGGCGCCCGCCCGCCCGCCCGGCGCCGCGGCCGCCGCGCCGCCCTACCTGCCCGCTCGGCCTCCCGCCGCTTCAGGTTGCGCTGCCGCAGCTTCAGGTTGCGCTTGTGGATCTTCTTGCGCAGCAGCCGCATGGGCAGGTTCCCGGCCGCCACCGCCACCGACATCTTCCCCACGCGGCGGCCGCGCCGGAACCGCCGCGCCGGAACCGCCGCCTCCTCCCGGCCGGGCCGCAGCGGCCCCCGGCGGCGCGGAGGAGGCAGCGGCGCCCCGAGCCGCGCGGGCGCCATCTTGCCCCGCGGCGCCCTCCGCCGGCCGCGGCTGCCATTCTGCAGTTCTAAATAAATAAGTTTGTAAATTCCGATTAATTCCACATTCCAACTAATAATAACTGTTACACTTTTACAAGAGAATCATGGGATGGGTCCGGTTTTCTGAAGCTTGAGCACCTTGCTCCAGAAATATAATATTTTCTTATCCCAAGATTTTTAAAAGGGAAAACGATAAAGTTGAGGGACATAGAGAAATTCTGAGACATCTGCAATTGAACAGAATAATATTATATATGAAAACTGAAGGGAGGAGGAAATACTAGTGTGGAAGTAAATTTAAGCAAGCATTATTGGTGCAAGGAAAGATGTGCCTATCTCTATGCTATGTCTTGATAACATTGAAATAAGATTAAGCCAAAAGCAAATCCTAAAACCCYTAAGCTTTGCAGACAAAATTGGAGTGTTTGAGATGGTTGAACAAAAACTAAGAAACCAAATGTTTCTTTCTATATTCTATATATCTATAATATAATTCTATATATATATWTWTWTTSAGCAGAAACTAAATCCAGATGTTCTCTTGGATAACTCCTGGTGATAGAGTTTCTTTCCCTGTGTGCCCATGCAAGCAAGGCTTGCATGCCTTGCTTGTAGTAAGGTTCACAAAGTTTCCTTTTGGGACTTTCCCAGCCATTTGAAAAGCACCGTTTTTTTGTCAAGATGCTGCCCTTAAGCGTGCAGACTGAAATGACTAAGCAGAAAAGGTGGCCTTGCCCAAACTTTACACAGACTGGGTAACAGGTCTAACCGCTGGCTTATAAAACTGAAAGGATGCCTGCCATTTCCATCAGCTGCATCCTGAGCTGTCCTCAACAACAGGAGCTTTTGGTATGAAACTCCAGGGGAGTCTGTTGCTGTAGCTCAGTGTTATTAATTTCTGCAMGCACATTTCGTCTTTTCTTTCTGGTCACCTTATGTTACATAAGATTTTTTAAACATGTACGAATTTGCACTTCCCAGTCTGCAATGGTTCATAAGTATATGACTAGATTTATTATTTGGATCTGGATTTAGCCCAGGCAATGCTCATTTCTGGAATATACTCACCTAGTAAATAGAGTGAATGAAAAATCTGGGTAGATTTTTAATTGGGGTGGATACTGATGCTTACATGAAGAAGGGAAGAGACAAGGTCATCATTCAGGCACCACATACTTCACCTGTGCCTATCTCAACCACTACAGCCCAGATCATCACTATTTTGCTTTTACCCACTTCCTCACACCTCCAGCTTTGCCAAGAATTAGGACCTGGGAACTCTGGTCAACAAAACTCCAAATAAAGGGCAGACTTGGCCAGTCTSCATGGGATTGCATTAGAGTGGCACAATGCCCAAACTGATAACATCTCCTGAGATAYTATATCCCACCAAGAAGGACATTTTTGTTTTGTACCAGGCATGTGACAATGTGGTCATACCAYGTTTATCAGGTTGGGGTRCAAGGAAAACTTGCAGAGAAGGGAAGAGCTTTCACCTGTCAAAAGATCATGGCATCATATGCGGAAATCTGGAAATTATAGATTTCATTAGGTAGATGCGTTTCATGTGCTACAACTTAGCTTTCTCTCAGTATCTTCTTGTAAAAGCTATTGCTTAGGATTTGCAAAGACATTTTTGTCTACTGCTGTGGGAATTTGAAATCATGGTCCGTCAGCYTCTTTCTTTGTGTCTGTAGCTTTTCTTCAAACAGCAATTTTGAGAAGTCATGAAAAAGAATACAAGAATACTCAGAAGGCAGTAGTGATAATTCCTTTGTAACAGGTCCAGACAATAGTTTAAATCACTAACTCATGTTAATATTTTTTTTTCTCTGAAGCTGGGCATTTGTTAGATGTCCTATGAATTCTCCCTGGTCCCTGTGTCTTATTTCTGTTCGATAGATTCCTTCCTAATTGCTTGGCTTATCAGGCAATCATTACTAAGAATAGGATTTTCTGAAATGGCTATTGAGCTGCTGTCAGAATGTGTCAAATTCTCAACACATGATCTTGCAGGATGGTTTGTAGGGAATTAGGCTTTAGGTTAGAGAAGTTTTCATAGCACCGAAGAAGTCCATATTAGAAACTCTGAATTTGTATCTGAAGATAACTGTTTTTGACACCATAATGGGCTGCTGATGTCACTCTTTTATCTCTCAGTGTAAATTAATCTTTAAAGCCAAATTCAAAAATCTCACTGTTATCCAAATTGCGTTAACAGTGTAACACAAATATAATCATTTCAATTGTATTACTTCAAGTATATAGTAACAATTGAAAAAAAAGTATCAAAAAGTATCAAAATCCTATATAGAAAGGATCAGGAAATAAAAGTGTAGCATCGTTTTACTAACTTCAGTCTGTTGTACAGAGCTGAGGTAGGGCAGGTAGGCCAGATTTTCAGAAAGCAGAATCTTATTTTTGATGTCTTAGACCAGATACAGAAAAAAAAAAATCAGGTATTTATGACAACTGYACCATTAAACTAAAAACATTGAACTAGAAAATTAGCTTTTATTACTTACAGCCCTACACCAGAAAGCCTTTCAGAACAGTCTTTTCACTTTTAATATTTTAACATCTTTTAGCAGTTATAACAATTATAATTTTACCTGTAGCATCAAATGTATCTGTCAGGCAGTGATCAGTTCTGGATAGGTCCTGGTCTTAAATTCAAGTATCAGACAGACACATACCTTTTTTTTTTTTTTTTTTTTTTTTTTCCAAAGTTGTCTGCTACATAAGAAAAATTGTGTGTATGTATGCGAGTTGTGAATATAAAGGTATTGTGGAAATAATATCTTTTACAATTTAATTGAAATATAAATTTGAAAATTATATCTCTATAGTATATTATTGGATACTGCTGAACCTCTGAGCAAATTTTAAGTAAGCTTTTTAATTTACAATAGGAAAAATAACACATCTGTGTTTGCAAAAAGCAGCCTAGATTATCATAATAAGAAAAGAGAATCACAAATGTTTTTCTGAATTGGATGAAATTATTTGCTGTTTTATTTTAGGAGACTGTTTACAGCTATTTGTTTCAGTCATTCCATGATCCATCTTAAGTGTTGATAAATAGCCTCTTTTCCATGTGGCCTTGCAATTTTTTTTTCTTTTCCCTTTTTTYTGTAGGTACAATTTGCTTACATAGGTCATTTTTAGGTCATTATACTCTTTCTGTACATATGAAGATCCATTTTTTATTATTTTATGTTTTGAAAAATAAGCACAATGAACGTTTTTCAAAATACTGCAAAGGCTACTGCTGGGGTCATGTGATTGATTAACAGAGGAAACAAGCTGCAGATATAGTAGCTAGCTCATAACTTACAGACTGGCAGGCCCTTCATCTCTAAAATAATTTTATCAGGTGAAAAAACCCTTTAATTTTGCATTGGCCTTATTAATTTAAAGGATACTAATAACAATATTAGTCTCCTTTTCAGTGAGAGTATGGCTTTTATGTTGCCTTATGCTTAATTTAGAATGGCTCTGTTAAAAAAAAATAAAGTCTCAATAAACTAATAAAAATACGAAATCTGAGACAGTAAGTGAAGTACACAGGGTTAGCTAAGAGTCCTTGCAATCATTTTGAAGATAAAATTTACACTATAGGGACAGAGCTTTATCCAACTGTAGTTGGATAAAGTCAGATCGGTGGCATTTGTGGAGAGAGTGAACACAAGATGTCACTCTAGTTGTGAGAGAGCTCCAAAGCAAAATTGACATTACTTGAAGAGGGAAGAGAAGGAAGAATTTAGGTTAGTTTTTTTTCTTTCTTTCTTTTTTTTTTTTTTTTTAACAACTTGTCCATCACATCTGTTTCTTCATTTACAGCATGTGTAAACCAGTAAATATTGCAAAGCTGTTGCAATTCATTTTTTTTCTATACATTTCTGCACCTTTCAATTCTATCATGCCATTTGCTCAATATGGACAAGTTCATATATGCATAATTATATACTACTCTCCTGATGTGTGTCATTCTGGTAGTATTGCATATCCTCAAAACTAGCGGAAGTTAATTTTAAGAGCCTTTCAAATTGCCATTTAAAGCACTTTTAATATTCCCAAGAAAAAGGATGATGAATTCACAGTTTATTTTTTATTATTGCACTTTCGGATTGAAACTCAGTGGGATTCTGGACAGTCAGCACTCCATAAGAGGTGCTCAATAGCTTGTAATATTGGACTCAGAGCTTTAATGGTTCAAGCGTTTATAAACTATGTCAAGCTGTGATAGTTATAATTATTGCACACGTTGTCTTAACCTATATAGTGTAGTCWTAATGCATTAGCCTTTGCAGCTTTCACTTGCCTGCCCTTTATTATCAGTGACATTTTCCCTTGAAAGTTCAGAGCAAGCATGACTTTATGATCAGCCATAAGCTTTAACTAGATGAGGATTTTTTTCTTTTCTTCTTCTTCTTTTTATTTTTTTTTTTTTAATCTATGAAAGACTTGTTGAAGAAACCAGCAGATGGCAATGTTTCTTAATGGCTCAGAGTTAAATTCTACTAGTGGTTATGGGAATGTATAGGATTAACACTATAAACTTGGTATGATGATCCTATTCATACAATTTGCCCTTGCTTGTCTGATTAGCCTTTCTCTACAAATTCATGGGACAATTTAAAAGGAAAAGATCTTCTGTCCTTGTGTCCCAAAGTAGGCAAGAAAAAAAAAAAAAAAAAAAAAAAAAAAAGAAGGGTCGCACATTTTTCTAATTTTGCCAGCAGAGGAGATCACGGAACATCTGAATCCTCTGCTACCTTTCAGTGCCTTTTCTCCTAGGTGTCAGACCTTGATCAATCATTTGCACCCAGGCAGTCTGGAATCACAATCACAAA